TTTCCGGATGAGAGGATGCATGGAAAGGGAAGATTCTGTGCATCCTCTCCTCCGTCGATAAAAGGTAGGCAACGCATATGCAATTGCGTATGTTTATGCGCAACGGTCACTTCGCTATTTCAGCGATTTCAGGTGGCCGCTCGCTTGTTTGCCACCTTTTGATATAAAAAAAACGAAAGGCATTCATCATGATATTTTTGGTAAATTGGTCTTAATATTTTGCTTATTATATCATGTGCATTTTGTTATTTTCTTTGAAAATGCCAAACTTGCCTCAACAGGCTCTCGGTTTTATACGTTCCCACTTAGACCAGCCGTAAACGGTAATGTCTTGAAAAATGCCAGACAAACGTTTTATCGCCCTGTCCACAAACAAGAAGGGTAACGAGGCGATTCAAATGCTCGCTTTGCGGGGGCGTTGCCGCGTCCCCTGGCTAATGGTATAGTGTATATTTGGTAAGAGATCTTTTTACATTTTACATTATAGCGAAAACTGTAATACCAACAAAATATAAATAAGTAAAATAGGGGTGTGCCAAAAGTCAATAAAGTTTTTAATTTTTTTTTAATTTCGCTTACACTAGGTTTATACACTTTATGGTTTTTACTTATAAAAAAAACTAAATTTCACAACTTTTCATTTTTCAGTTTGTTCTGGGGACTTTTGCTTTCTTTTTTGTAGGTTTTTAAAAAGTAATTGCATATTAAATACTAGTGTAATCTAGAAATCCTATTTCCTAACATTTCTGTTCACTTTGCCATATATTTCGGGAAATGCGTCCTTACAATAAAGTAGCATTTCCCTCAGTTTATCGTAAAGTGTGTGATCAAACATTTGCCTGAACTCTTCCAATGTTGTGTATGTGTCAGCGTACAGCATTTGAAAACCCTTGTTCTTTATCACGAAATCTTCAACCCGTCGTGTTGAAGGGACCTTAAAACATTAGAACACAAATAATTGTATGTAGACATTAGCTAGAAAAATATAAGATTTCTCAAATGGTTCCCTTGGACATAGTGGGGGAGACCAATGTATGACTAACTAATGAATAAAATTAAAAATAACTCTACTTCAGTCTTACAATTTCGGTTGGGGACGGGACTCTATTATAAGTGTAACATACTGTTTTTTTGTTTCAAGTTTTAAGTCGTTTGTACTTAAGTAGTCAATAGTTTATTAGACTTCATTCAAGTTGATGCTTACGGTCACAAACCCTTTTGCTTTCGGCACACCATAGATACCAATGTCCACAAACATCTGCCAGTCGCCTGACGTCACGCGCAGCTGTCCAGGCTGCCTGAACACTTTGAATGGACAAAGCCAAATCGGATACACCTGCAAGACAATACTAGATGCTTTGGTATCACACTCAAAGTCTCTTAGGGAAGAATTTTGAAGTAATGGACTACTTAGTGGACAATTTACTACTCTGAACTGTGGCAGTAAGGTACTCAAATGTTAGTAACAAGCTAAATGGAGATCTCTAACCGGTGTATGTTTAATAGGTAATAAATTAATATCACTTAGTAACTTGTATTTGTCTATGGTAAATGTCATCACCTCAAATTCTCTATGGACGCATTTGATCGCGCTCTCCAGTTTGTCTATGGGCAGCAACATATCTTGTATAACGTGCGCGCGGTCGTACAACTTGCCGACAGCTTCTGGTTGTGTCAGCTTCAAGAGTGACACCTCTGGAGGCATCAGCCAGCCGAATAAATATCGGAATATAGCATGGTTTCCGAATGATATTATGTCCTGATGAAAGAGGACATTGTTATTATAGTTATAAAATTGCCCTTTAATAGAAAAAAAATGAGGAGAGTTATGTTAATAAAGCAAAGAGTGGAAGACAGATTTACAAATCAAATGAAGGTTTGCTTGAGACGTCTGCTGTTAGAATGAACTGTTTGTTACAAACGTAATAATTTTTAATCTACACAAAACCTACCTAACCAAGAATCCTCTACAAATTAATTCTGTATGGACTATTACAGAAGAAAGAAATCATATTAACCTGAAGTTCCCAGAATAGACTACGGGTATGTCGATGGTAGTAATGCCGTAGTGGTATGTACTCCACTACTGTGTTCCGTTTACCTTGCTGGTAGTTCGTCAAATGGCGCCGAACTTGCGTGAAGAACCATTCTGAATACCATTTACCGATTGGATTTATCTGAAGAAAAGAAATGGGACAATATCACAATGTGTTCTATCCTATTGTTTCCATAGTGATAACCTACAACAAGATTGGTTTATAGCTAACGCTAGCTAGTTAGTTTTCAACATTTTGGTTAACTTTAGTGCTGAACTCACGGTCATTAAGAGGTAACCTACGACGATTAACGACTTATCACTAAGTTGTTTACCTTTCCATCCGTCCCCTGTTCATCCACCATATCGCCAGTCATCAGTACTCCTGTGTCTTTACTGAAGAGTAGCGCTTCAATAAACTGATGCGGCTTTTCCTTCAGCGATTCTTGGCTGAGTCTCTTAGACAACTCTGATAATGAGGTGCACGGATGGTATTCTAAACGAACGTATCTGGGAAACAATACACATATTTCCATCAAAATTGAGAAAATAGAAAAGATACAGACAGATTAGTAGACTACTTCTGGGGGATTCATCGGAATAAGACCATTATTGTTAAATTCCGTTGCCCCCAATCCAAGACAATATCTCTTCCATAAAATAAGGACATACACTTAATTATTATTCATATTAGTAAGAGGTTTTTCAGTTCTAAGCATCTTACTTTTTCGCCGGCACTAATTTTATGACCGCTGATGTCAAGAATCCAAGAGTTCCATAAGACCACGGCACAGCGTAGAAAAGTTCCGGATGTTCAGTCTGGAAACAAATTATTATGTCACTTATGATCACTCTGTTTTTCGAAGCAGTTTCATGTCAAGTGCATTTTAAAAGCTACGCATTTGTTATCTTATTTTACTCTGTAGTTAAAACTATAGTAATTGAGAGAGAAAAATACCTTACTACACGTAATAACAGAGGCGTCAGCAAGGACGAGCTCGTATTCCGTGCAGATGTGCTGGAATAATCCATGGATATGAGAAGATGTTTCAACTCCTGTACCCATCACCAGACCGCCAACAGTGAGCTGATCTAACTCAGGTACAACGGCGAGCGCTAGACCTAAAGGCTCTAATGTTCTGGACAATTGTCCCATTGTCACTTGAGGCTCGCAGCGAACTGTCTGAAAAAATTATGTATTTAATTAAAAACTAGATTAACGAAAAATACTTATTTATCTTCAATAACGTATAAAATAAATATAATATATTTCCACCTCATATTTTATTATATATACTTACTAAGTTCTTGGTATCAACTTCTAGGATATCTACTAGGTTGACGTTAATATTGGTGAACGTCTTCTTGTAGATAGCTTGTCGGAAGGACATGGTCTGCCAACCGGGCCGGGAGGTGCACAATTTGGTGCTACGATCGCCTTTTAGCCATTCATTAATCTGGAAGTCAGCAAACATAAAGTCAGTAGTAATAATGTAATTATAATTAATATAAATTCGCCTAATGTCTGTATCCTCATGATATTCTGGAAAATACTGTTTTCATAAATAATGAATAATAATAAAAAAAAACTTATAATTAACTAGCAGTAACCCGTAACCTTGAACACGCGGAATAAAAATTGCTCCTCAGATTTATTCGGTACAAATTTTTATAGGGCTAAATTCTTTGAGCAGGGTTTTTTTTCCAAAAACAAAATTCAAGTCAATACAATTTAAATTTGAAATCTATCCTCAACCGAGACACTGGTCAGATTATCATTTTTATTAAACTTTTATGAGACGAACCGTACCAGGCGATATACATAAAAGTCGTGTTCGAGAATCGAGTTATTACAGAGTCCAACCTGAACCAGTTAAATTCAAACTGAACAAACCTGTCTTTGAACATCTTTGACCTTCTTGTCGTGTTGTTTGGGCGCACTGTTCATCTTGAAGACCACGTAGTTCCTAAAGGCAGACCATATTTTCCATAGGAAGGACATGGGCAATAGCGCGCAGATGACGATCACCCAGCGGTATTCCACTAGGATATACTCCGCTAGACTCTCCGTCTGCATTCCCGTCATGTTGATCCTGAAAACATTTCGTTGGGAAATCAGTGTTTAGTTTTAAAAGTACCCCATCTCACTGTATTCTTATATCTTTGGGCAGAGTACGAATCCAAGGAGACTATAACATATTCATAAAACTATTGAAACGAGAATTTGTTTTTTTTTTAATAATAAATTACCCACTCACGCTTTACACGTCAGCCCGAGAAGGCAGTCTCCTGTAAACTGATAGCCAAGGTCCGATAATCAATGCAAAATTATCAAATCGCATCTAATTTTGAACTTTAATGCTGTTATAATATGTGCCATCTCATGGAACATTGTCACAATCAAAAGGAATGTGATTACAGTCGTAAGGTGAATAAAAATGCTACAGAGTGTATCTTTGACCAATTAGTGCTAACGCAGGACTTTACAATTGTAATTGCAATCTAAATGATCAACTCTCAAAATAATATTGAAAAATATATAGTCGTAGTTTTTTATTTATCTTAGTTTTAATATAAAAACTATGCATACATTTGCATTAAAATTACCGGTATCCTATCAACAAGGTATCTAACCTTTGCGTGTTCGCTAGATTACAAAACACCTGTGCAATTTAAGTACATATTACTAAGATTATGCTTACAATATTAGCACACCCTGTTATCTTGACGTAAATCGTATTTACGAAAAAAGATCATCGTTAAGTATGATTATACGATTTTATAAACATGTTCTTTTAATAAGTAGGTACTGATTTATATAATATATTATTTAGATAAGAAAAATGAAATGTTAGTCTAAATAATTTTATTAAAAACAAAAACATTGTTTATCATCGTTATTTTAAACCATAAAATAAAACACTGTCTAATTAAACAAGTTTATTTTAACATAATGATTAAAAATAACAAATGCATAAAAATAAAATAACATATCTGCCAAAAACAACAATATCACCAAAAGTTTGTAAGTTTATCTTTTACCAATTAAACCAAAAGTAAAGTTTACAATTTTGATTTAGGATTACTCGAGCCCTCGTGAGAGACAGGTATAACAATATCACGTTTTATAACAGGCTGTCTTGCTGCTGTTATAGTAAGAATTCCATTCGGAGAGACTTTTGACTCCACACTTTCTGGCAGACATCCTTCAGGCAAAGCATACCGCCGCACAAATTGCCTCGAAACAAATCCATACTCATCTTTCTTTTCTTCATGTTGACCTTGAACTACAATGTATCCATCCGCCGTCTTTATTGATATATCTTCAGGTTTAAAATCATTCAAACGCATACAAATTTCAAACTTATCTCTTTCTGCATTTACGGAACTCTCATTTCGCCATGGGAAGTTTTCAAGCCAATCTATCGATCGTAAAACCACTTCATCACCGAACAAATTTTGGCTGGAGGGCCACAGTGACATTTTTAGAACTTTACAATTCCAGAAAATTCACGAACTGGAATAACAATGTAAGATTCAATAATCAAGTTATTATTTTGATAAACAACACGGCACAGCTGATATCTGATTATACTTTGAACTGTGCCACAGATTATGTCTGTTTTTGTTGAGTTTCATGAATTTTAAAATAGATGGCACTTAATACAATACATACTAAAAACTATTTTACAGAAACTTTTGGTAGTAATTGGTAGGAATGTCAAACGAGATAAATTAAAGCCCACTTTTAAGTATTTGAAACATTTTTTATTAAAAAATATATAATGGAATTAAACCGCAACAGAAAACTGCGCTGGTATGCCATAATTGTAATATTACATACACTTTGTAATCTATTTCTCAAAATTACAATGGTTTCTGTTGTTGAAAGTTAGATTAATTTAAAATCATTAATTGAGATATATCGTCACTTATTTGTACCAGCACAACGGGAGAATCATTATCTGAAAAAAGTTATATTTTATTAACATTTTTAAAGAATATTTTATGTCACCGTTTGCTTTTATCCCACTCATATGGCGTCATAATAAAAGTAACTTGTACTTGTGATCAAAACTTAAGGTTAAAAGGAAACATCGTAGAAGTCGAAGAGTTTGTTTGAAGTAATAAATTAATGAAAAAGTTTATCTGAATAAACTATAGGAATTAAATTATTTAAATTAGACATTGTAAATTAAAAATCTCAATGAGTAAGTAACGGGCTGCAACCACGAAATAATGTAGTTACATGTCACCATGAAGTGCCCTCAATTGGCTTTAAACACCAGATAAATTGAGTGTTAGCCGATAATAACAGAGCAAAGATAACATAGCAAGTAAAAGTTATCACAATTCAATGCCTTAGTGGCAGTTATTAGTGTATTAAATTAAATCCATACTTGGCAACATAGAAGCAAAAGATGTTGACACTTCATTATTTGTTTCAACTATTTCTTCATCTTTTATTTCATTCACATCCGCAAACACTACATCAGGAGCGTTATTGCCAACAATAAGATATTCCCCTTCACTATCCAAAGTTCCTTCCAATGCCTGTCGTTTATTACAATGTTCAATATCATTGTTACTCCTCTTCTTACTAGACAATGCATTTTTGTTTTGAACATTTTCAGGATGAAGTTTTAAAGTCCGATGTATTTCTTTTCGTATTTTTAATTTAACATCTTCAGACAAATCAATCCCGCTGTCATAGTTGTTTGCATATTTTGTTATAGGTTCATCATCACTAGACACATCATCTTCTAAATTGTCCTGTGAACTAGGTGTTACATGTGCTTTCTTGAAGAGATGTCTCCATTTCTTTATTAGATTGTCTGCTAGTTTCTGTAATTTAATAATTTACTGTAAGTTTCTTATAAAAATGTGCGCTACAAATTAAATTTTTAGAAACAAAACTGGTAATCTTACATCTTACTTATATTATAAATGCGAATGTTTAGGTGGATGGATGGATGTTTGTTTGAAGATATCTCCAGAATAGCTTAACAGATCTCGATGAAATATGGCATACATATATAACATAGTCTGGAAGAACACATAGGCTACTAATTATGTTTCTTTTTAACTTCTCAAGGATGGTGTCACAGGTGACAGCTATTTACTTCAAAAATCTAACCAAAACTTCAGTTGTCCAGTTTATCAAAGTTCAATGCACTGACTCTCTTTGCTAGTTCAATATTTAAAAAAATCAAAGTGACATTGAACATTATAAATCATAGAAAGTTACTAAGGCAACACAAAATACTGTTATTTAAAATACTCACGAATTTCAGAGGCTTCGGCAACCGTAACATGAAATGATGTGAGTGTGCCTCCAACATCTCACATTTCTGGCACAAATCATAGTCATCACAATTGACACATTTGTAGCGGAAACCGGTTATAGGCTTGCTACAGTTGTCACAGATTATATCAATATGCACCGGTGGGTTCGGTTCAAAATCATCTGAAACAATAAAATGACAGAACTGTCAAACATCCAACTTAAATGGAACAAAACTAATATGTGTTGAATATTAATAAACAAGTGTAGGTTTTCTTTAAATATCAATTGTACAACTTTAAGGTCTGAATTCAATTTAAAATTAGATATTGAAATTATAGTGGATTGCTTCGTAGCAAATCGCTACAAAATTTAAATTTTTGGTCATAGTCACTAAAATAAGTTTCATACCACAATCCCAGCTACCGGGAAGATATAGAGTGGGCACTGCCTCAGGACTCAGATTTCGATTTTTAATACTCGCTGGAGGGAAATGGCGAGAACAGAAACGTGGCGAGACAATTTTATCTTCAATTTTCTTTATTAAGTCCTCCCTTCGAGCCGCCTTCAGCCACTCTATCTGCCTGGAAAAATTTAATTTGTTTGTTGTTTAATGTTAATTTGTCAATAAATGAAAGTTATCTCACTATACAGATTAAAAAAAATTTGGAAGCAAGTTTTATAGGTACTACAGTTCAATCTAAATAATTACAATGTTTATGAACGATTGATGTTTCATTTGTTGGTAATCACTTACCGATGTCTTTCTTTAGGCAAGTTGTAGAAATTTAAATGTTTGTGTAATCTGCTATTGCGACCGCATCCTTGTACACAACAATAGTTCACCATTTCTATAAAATTACTAAAATTGTAATGTAAACAATAAACTAAACGCAACTAAACGGTGGCTGCCGTGCTTTTGAAAGTATGAACGAAGACTATGGCAATTGATAAACTTAAAACTCGATTGAATAGTGCGTAATTGCAAATGGATTGTAGAAAGGCAGACTCTTTACTCGTTTTATAGCTCTTGTTATATTTTATTATTAATGCAAATAGAAAAAGAAAGCCTAGCCTTAGTAAATGTCAATTTCTCAATGTCAAATTGTCAAAATAGTTTTCAGAGTAATTATTGCCATATTTTAATGCATATCTAAAGCAGAACCGAAGACCCTGTAATGAGGGCGCCACAATCTCCATTGATTTTGTACATTAACTTCAATATGTCTAATGAACTAGTTAATTTAAAATTCAATATAGTATTTTTTGTCTTTTCCCATGGTCGTTGAGGTTTTTTCCGCAGCTAAAAATGTTTTTCAGGTCATTAACAATTCAAATTAACAGATACTCAAGAGTTACACCGCGATTAGAATAAAATACTTTAACAACTCGGCGACTAGCAACAATTCTTATAAAATTGTTGTTTCCATTACCAGAAATTAGCTTCGTAATTCCGTAGATTTTGCGAAATATGACTAGGTGCTATGTTTCTGGGTAGTCAACACAACAGATACCGAGGTTTAATGACATTGTTCCTTTTCCAATTTGGTATCTATTCTTTGTTAGACATCAAAAGACAGGTTCACTTTATTGACATTTGAGATTGACAAGTTTGTTAAACTGATTTGGTATGGAAAATCCTAACTCAATAAAATACAGAAAACCGCTAAGAGCATAAATTTGAAATATAGTCATGTGTTTTCATGTTTATATAAATAAAGTTAAATTGTAATCTTTAGGTTTAAGAAATACAGTCATCGTACAAGCGTTAACAACTAATGCAGCATGGAAACCGCGGAACAGTCAGGACCTTGTAGCAATAACCAATCGACTGATGCATCAAGTAATGCGCCTGCGGTAAGGAATTGATTGAACAATTACTGTTAAAATATATAAGCGCAATGGCGGCAAAATGGTATAAATTTATTATGAACCTGCCTGTCATCTATTGTGATTTCATGAAACATTAAGATTTACGTTGTTATTTTGTAATTGAAAGATTTTGTAACTGAAGTAAAGTTCAAATACGGGTTGTTTACATTCTTTCATACTTCCAATTTTCGACCTATCTAGTTGGGGACTTTAGGTAAGCAATCACATTCTTATTTTGTTTAATTTCATTGGCACTGCTTATTTATGTCTTTTAGGCGACAAAACCGGTAACATCTGAAATCAAGCCTAAGCTATCTAAAGGTGTTGAAAATGCAAAGAAAAGGCTCAGAGCCTTTTCTATTCAGAAGAAGACCCCAATGGCACCTATAGTTGTTCCAAAGCCTTCAAGCACTGGTCGTATGTATAATTTTATTATTAATTCAGTTGCATTTTAGTGGTATACATTTCTCAATTATCTTGGCAGCTGAAGGTTCTGTACTCTGCACAGTGCCCTCCACAGCCTCACCCATGTTTCAAGCCGCCAAGATATATGACAACCTCTATACTTATAATGATTGATGACAGCTTTATTTACATTTTTATAAACACAGAAACTGTTACAGATTTATATATGTCACATAATATCAATTTAAAATGATGTTAGTTATTTTATTTAAATGCCAACATGTACGAGGTGTCAATAGTGTTGAGCCTCAACTTATATTGGAATTTAATTTATTAAATAAAAGATTATCATTGTTATGAAGTGGTTGATGGATGGATAGATGTGATTAGAAATGTCAATGGTAGGAATGGTTACTTAAATAGCATTGCGCCCCTAATAAGGTTGAGATTGAACGGAGTCTGGACAGTTGCAGTTTTTATGGGTTGGTGAACAGATCGAGGCCTGCCTCTCTGCTAGCCACCTTGTGTAACTGCTCATTGTGAAACTGCCATGTGGCGCTTTGTACAGTCAAGGAGTGGCTTAGTGGTTGTGGGTCAGTGTTCCATTGCTGTTCGTATCCCCTATGGTGCTCACAATGGCCGAGTGTCTCCGTGCTCGACAGGCATTGGAGGACACTTCTTGTCAACAGTGGTGCGCGTGTGTGCGTACTAAGTGCAGTGGAGTCGGATCGTAATACCGACTATTTAAATAGTGATCTCAGACGTATATATGGAAGATTTGTGTAACATTTTTTTTATGTTTCTCTCTTTTTTTAGATACAACAGTTTTAATTGGAAAGTTAAGTGGAGTGAAACCTTCAACGCCAAAGGTGGATGATGAGCAAAGGAAACTGCCAAGACCTCCGAAACCAGGTTCTAATAAAAGGGTTTTAACAGGTATTAAATATTACATATATCTAATTTATAAGATTTTTTGGACCTGAAATAGAGCAGTCATATTTTCCTTTGACCAGATTAATGATATAATTACCATTTCCTTAAAGGCCGGCAACGCATCTGCAGTTCCTCTGGGGTTGCAGATGTCCATGGGTGTCGTTGATCACCTCGGTGTTCCCGCCGCTCGTTTGCCCCCTTCTCTTATAAAAAAAAAATACTTTTCTATATATTAAACTATTTAATAAATGATTATTGTAGTAAATCAAAAATGTTATCTTCAGTTGATAATTAATTTTACTGTTACAGATTCTTATATTGATCTTCAGAAAAAGACTTTAGCGGAGATAGAAGACATGAAACGTAAGATGGAATTAGTGGAATTAGGTATACCGTTGGGCTTGATCTGCCCAACATCAACTAGTGAGAAAGCCATGCCAACTAAAGCTATGCCACCTATCAAACATTTTCTAGGTAATTCGCTTATTCTAAAATATGTATTGAACATTTCATGCTATGTGCACTTTGTTTTTGCCTTTACATTTATGTTTTTAACTGTTTTAAAGACTCTTTTGAATGTTATATTTTAGGTATGTGTCTAACATTCACTTGCAGCTGCAAAATATATAACCTCATTTCGTCCAAAAATCATATTAAAAATAATAAAGAAATTTTCATAGATATTAGATATCATTTGATATAATTTATATATAAATTAATATTATTCTTGGGATAAATGAGGTATATAGCACTGCTACTAGAGTTAATTTTTTTTTATGTTTTTGCACCAGCATTTTTTATTTTTTGCTTTTATCTGTGTGACTTGTGCATGTAGGTTACAGATTTCGATTATGCAATTTGAAGAACTACAAAGGTAATGTGAAAAGAAACAAAAAGAAAACCAGTAAGTCCGACAAGATGTTATGAGTAATTTTGTAGTTAGATTAGATGGTATTTTAGTAAGTTAAATGCGATATTTTAGTTAGATGTAACTCTTTTGTGTACCACAAAAGGTATGTGTCATTAGTATGTGTATTTATGTAATGTAATTTGTCTTCTTAGTATCTCTTATTTGATTATTCATTATGTCTCCGTGAATGTTATATTAGTATAGTTAATTAGTATTTTAGATGTAGAAACTGGTCTCTACAAATGGATATGAGATTGATTCCCTGACAAGGCTGATATACTAAATAGAATTTACTGTCACATAATAATTGGTGAAAATCAAATAGGCACAAAATACCAAGTCTTATAGCCATTCCATTTATAGATGTCAGTGACTGTAGAATATTAAGAGCAATAATTCTAATCTAATAAAGTTATCTTTTGTTTTTAGATCCAGCAAAAGTGGACGAAATCATAAAAGAGGCAAAGAAAGCCAGAGATGAAGGTAGAAAATATAAGTTTGACTATCAAAAGATATTACCGGATTACGATAATCCTTTTCAACGTAAAAAGGAAGAAGATAAAAATAAAATTCTGGAATTTCGAGATAAAGATTTTGACAGAGAGAAGAAAAGAAGCGATAGATATAGTCGTCATTCAGATTACAGACGCGAAGAAAGAGATAAATATAAATATAGAGAGAAGGAAAAAGGTAGAGAGAAAAGTAAAGAAAGAGTTTGCGATTCAGATGACGTTAAAAAAGATGAAAAGGAGGCTAACGTTAATTTAAATGATTATTTAGTATGCGATAGTTGGTCATTAGATAATGAAGAGAAGACATCAAGTCCAAGAGTTGAAGAAAAAACTGCTAAAAACACAATAAAACATCAAACTGACACTAAATATGCGAAAGCTATAAACGAACAAGTAAGAGATAGCGTATTGAAGAAACAAGATAAACTGAAGGAATTTATAAGAGATAGTCCAATACGACCTATAAAAATAGAGAAATTACAACCAGTTATAGACTCGTTTAAATTTGAAATAGATCCAAATGATGAAATGTTGGATATATTTGATGTTGAATCAGGAAAAGAAAAATACGCCCAGAAAACTAAAGATCTCTCTATATATTCTCCAACGGATTTAAAGTCCGAAGACTACGAACAAGATACATCGAAAGATGCATCAATGGAGGATGGGAATGATGATACATTCTTGGAATCTATTATAAATGAGATAAAACAGGAAGATATGAGTGATGATATCAGTCAAGATAAAGGATTGGTTGAATATGATTCTCCAATGAAAGAAGAAACAGAAGTACGAACGTCGGATCCTAGATTATCAGTAACCCCGGAATTAAATGATAAAATGAAATATCAACAGAGTCAAAGAAGTGATTATTCAGATGGATATCGTTCGAGTGAAAGTGGATATAAAACCAGTGATACCACCGAGAGTGGATATAAATCTATGGATAGTTTCAGTCTATCAATAGACAAGGATTTAGAAGAGTCTATGGAAGGGAAAATGTCGAAATCGACAGTTGATTCATTGGAGACATGGAGTTTTGTGTTAAAGATTTGCCAACCTATACTGTTTAGACATGACAAAAATAAATGTTACAGGTAACTATTAATCCAATTTATATGTCTTTAGCATAATATATTAAAATTATTATTTTTCATATATAATTTAACTTTCCAGAGAAACTCGGACGGTACCAAAATTGTGGTATACCGAGAACCCAAAGTTGTGCAACTGTGTAAAAGATCGTGGTGTTGTGTACGAAGAGTTGAACATGTGTAAAATGAACCTTGTTGATAGAGTGTACGGTTGTGACCAGTAAGTATTTATTATTTTATTTTATAAAGATTTTAGTAATGCTTTTTTTAATAAAATAAAAACTATTCATGTCTAGAATCCCAGACGCGCCTGCGTCAAAGTCCCGCAACTGGTACCCCCGTCCCCATCTCTGTCTGACAGAGACACACACTATACCTGTCTCCAACGAGTGGGAGGGAGACGACATCAGTCAGACCGAGGTCTGCACACAAGAAGACAGAAGAAGATCCAACACTCCACTCAGAAGCGAAGAAGTATTACTCGATAGAGAGTATCAGAGGTCGGTGGAAATCTTTACTTACTATCTTACTAATATTAAATGCGAGTTTTGATGTATGGATGAATGGATGGATGTTGAACGGCTGCATGGATCTTGATGAAGTTTGTCAAAGATGTAGAATATAGTCTGGAAGGACATTAAATTTACAGAAAACACTATGAAGTAATTTATATATGAATATATTATATCTTGTGTCTACATACATTAATACAAAAACATATGAAAATAAATGAATAACCGAAAAAAGGAAAACCTAACCATGTTGCGGATCCCCGGACAACCCATTTATCTTCTTATATATGAAATTCTTGTGTCATAATGTTAGTAACAATACACTACCAAAACGGCTCTTGTAGGTCTGTATGATTATATCTATATCTTAATTATACGTGAGTCGAGGGCGATAGCTAGTTAAAATAGAAAAAAAATCGTTGCTATGCACTGACATCTATAAATGGACAGGCTACACTGCGGTATTTTGTGCCTATTTGATTCTCGCCATTTTGGCGCTAACAGTTGTGGTTGATAGCGGTGGTGAGGATTCGAACTAGTAATAATAAATAATAGACATACAATTAATTGTCGGGAACTTTAACAGGCACGTTTACATCGGTACGAAACGTTGTCATTTCCATGCCCTATCCAATCATAGATGTTGCTATGGTATTGACATTGTTGATTATCAAGTTGTCAAATTATATTATTACAACGATGCATTTGTGGTTTTATTTTCGATTTGATGTGTTAAAAGCTATTCATAGACAGAAAAATATTTCAAAATATTTAAACTTGTAAATGAAAGTATGTATAAAATAGTGATTTGATTTTTAAATTAATAATTATTGACATATATTGAGTTGGATTCGTTTATGGCATTTCCGTTATTTTTAGGTTTTAGCGTCGGTTGCTCAAGTACTAGAATTGTAATCTGTAGGTCCCGGGTTCGAATCCCGCCCTTTATCAATGTATTTTTCGTTTTTCGATTAATATTATGTATTCGACGTTCTTAAGGTGAAGGAAAACATCGTGATGCTATCTGAAATTCAAAGATATGTGTGAAGTCAACCCATACTGGGCCATTGTGTTTGACTATGACACCCCTAAGTTAGGGTAGGCTTCCTAGGATGATGATATGAAAATCACATTATATAGATTTCTCCATTACTATATTTTCAATGCAATAGGTTCATGAAAGCTGTATGGCCGGAAGTGGAGTCTAGGAACGAAACACCTCGCAGCACAACGCCGGTGAAAGAAGATGTTAGGAAGAAGAAGAAAGATGTAGAAGTTGAGAAGGAGATTGAAGCTAAGAAAAAGAAGGAGGAAGGAACTTCGGTCAGGAAGATGAAACAACTGAGCAGTGAGGGTTGGAGCCAGGAATCAGATGTAGAAGAAGAAATGGAAAAGAGGTAAAAAACAATAATTTCATGAACTTTAGATGCCAATGAACAGTATAAATAAGGCATGTTTACTATTTCGATGACATGATATATTTTAGATAAACCGTTTTCTTAATTAACCCTCATTGTGGCAAGATTTCTTATTTGAAGAAAATCAACAAAGTTAAAAAAAACTAAGTTAAAAATTATTTTATAGTGATCGTATATTTTTATAAAGTTGTACGTATGGTATATACTATACAAAATGAACATAAGAGTTTATAATTTATTTTAAAATCTTGCCCCCAATATTAGTCATTTCGCTTTCAATGTATAAAAATGTTACTAGAATCTGAACTTCGAATCCTAAATATCCTCCATAAAAATAACATCGTAAACTTAAGGAATATTCATCATGATTTTTAAATTTTCTTGTTAAAAAATCTAGACGGATTATTTGAATTCAAACTATATGTTACGTCTTCATTTGAATTCAAAATATTAGTTGTAAGAGGGTACATCCAATAATATCATAAGTCTTTTGTTGCAATAAATGAGGGTAGTTTATAATTTTTTGAATAAATACAACGTGTGTAACGAAATCGTTACAAAATGTTCTATTGAATGTTTTAGTGTGTAGTTTACTCAAAGCGTTGTTTCGATATAATGGATGTTTATTTTGTGAAACGTTTAAGGAATATTTTAGCGAATAATGTTATCAAAAGGTAATTTTTTTTGGTAAAAGGTAAAGTTTATTTTTAAATACGTAAAGACATCAATTAATAGTGACGAAACATCAGTAGAAAAACATATCTTATCTCAATCATTTCAATGTATATGAGTGGGATGGCAATATGTTTACGATTGTACAATTTGCAAAACAATCGGCACTCGTGTGAACTTACGATATGGTAAATTTTTAAACGTTTTACTTGTTTATAAATGGAAAAATGATTTTTTTTTCAGCAAAAAAATGAAAATCGATAAAGAAAAACTCCGTAAACGTAAGAGATCTTTATCCAGTCTTTCATCGGAGAGTGAGCCGGATGCGAAAAAAAGAAAAAAGATCTTAAAAAAGAAAGTAAGTATACTCTGTTCCAAGTTAAAGATTAAAATGTGTAAAACCACATCTAACTTATTGAATAATTTACAGGCTCTTAAAAAAACTAAATCGAAATCTGCAAAGAAACGTCGTATTGGAAAGAAGATATTAAAGAAATTAAAAGAAAAGGAGAAGAAAAAGAAGAAACAGAGTAAAATTGAGAGAATCGATGAATCAGAAGACGAAGATAGTGGTAAGATTTGTTATGTTTTTTGACATGTTATTTAATTAATTATTAATATCAAAAACATAGTGGAAAAAAAGTTTTACGCAGTATTTCTCAGATAAACACCTTTTTTTTATAAATTTATATAACCAGTAGCTAAAAAGGAGCATAGTTTTCTATGCAATTGACTCCTTAGTTTAGAAAATTTACGAATAAACATATTACAGATAGAAAAAATATTAAAAAATCTAAAAAGAAAAAACTACAGAAACAAAAGAAGAATTTGAAACGAAAGAAGAAGGAAGAATCAACAAGTAGTTCGTCATCTTCCAGTTCTGAAAGTAGTACTGATGAATCAGAGAAGAAGGCTAAGAAGAAAGCAGAAAGTAAAAAGAAGAAAGAAAGGAAGCGTAAGAGGAAGACATCCTCATCAGATTCTGCTCAAAGCGAAGAGTTATTTGACGTTAATATACTAAATAATATTAAAACGGAACGTCTCACTGATGATGAAAAAAGTAAAACATTAATGAACTTCTCACCGAGAAGACAACAGAAGCCAAGAGAAATTATAAATGTCAAAGAATTACAGAATGATTTCGTTGGTAATAATATACATATTAAGAAGGAAGTGATAGAAGATTATCCTCTATCACCTAAAGTAACAGAATCTCAGAAAAATGTACCAGAAAAAGAAAAGGAACAAATTATATCAAATGAAGAGACAGAAAATGTAACTAAAATTACAGAAGTTATCGATGAAGAGGATAAAGAACAAGAACAAATTGAAATAAAGGTAATTTTTAAACAAATTATTACAGACTAACTATCGCACGTGACACCGCCCGCGCGGAATTAAAAAACTGAGTAGCCTATATTCAAGACTATGTTCTACATATATGCCAAATTTCAGTGAGATCCATGCAGACGTTCTGCAGACACCTAACAAACATCGATCCAAGCATTCCCATCCGAATATTAATTAAGATTTTTTTTTATATTCTTGTTATTACTTTTTTCAGGAGCCAGAAGCTAAGGAAACACCAATCACAGTGCCTCAAATATCACCAAATTCAATACCACAAAACATGCCACCACAAACAATTTCTAACATAGAAGTGATACCAACAATATCTCCAATACCACAAAGGTCACAAATAAAACCAGTAATGGACGAATCGAATATGTCTCTCTGTTCATCCCAAGAGTCGGTATGCAGCGTGAAGCCGTATGAAAAAGACGATAGCCATTTAAGACCTTCCTCACAGAATTCAAACTATAGTTTCAATGATGTGATCAGTGCGAGCCAAAGTGGACTTTATTTGAAGCAAATAGAGTCTGTTGTTGAGTGTGAAGATAACCATGAAAATTACCAACAAGATAATTATGAAATGTATGAACATTTGGCCATGGCTTACCAAAGTGATGTCGCCAGTCAGGTATGTTTTATTTTTCTGTTTAAATATGACATACTACTAGCGGTCACCCGTCACTTCGTTAGTGTGGAATTAACTACCTTCCTGTAAACATCCCGTCTACAGTCCAGTGGTTCTGGAGTTCACTCGGAACAAACTCTGCTTTACGGACAGACATACTGACAGAAAGCCAATGATTGTAGAAATTGGTTTTTCGTCACCAGCTGCGCGAATACATCATTTGTACGAAATGTTTTTTTCGATATTACATATTGACACTTCATCATCAACCTGCCCTTATACCTATCGAGGGTCGGCACAGCATGTACTACTCCTCCATACATCTCTATCAGCCGTCATATCCGAGTCTACCCCCCTTCTTACGCATATCCTCTTTCACACAGTCATTCCATACTTTTTTTGGTCTTCCCCTACCCTTGTAGCCATCCACATTCAATTTCATTACTTTTTTGCTTATATCATCATCCCTCCTCATAACATGTCCAAATCACGCTAATCTTTTACTCCTCAATTTCTCGATCATTGGCGCTACTTTCAAACTTCCTCTAATATACACATTTTTAACTTTATCCTTTCTTGTCACACCACACATCCATCTTAGCATACGCATTTCAGCTACATGCAATCTTCTTTCATCCGAAACCTTGGTGGCCCAACATTCAGAACCGTACAATACGACAGGTCAATTCATTACTTCAATTTTATGTAGTCCAAAATAAATGGCATTCAAAACTTGTCGTTTTTTTCGTATTTAATTTGCCTTTATTTCAGACTACCGCTTTCAGAATCGTTTATTAATCACTAAGGGATGAATAAGAGATACTTACGAGTTTAAGAATGTTATTATTAGAATTGCATGATATTGTAAAATATAATTTCAAACAAGAATTATATTTATTTCTTTATAATTACAGCAAGCGTCTCCTCCTGGTGTGGGAGGCGAGCAGCGCATTGAGACAGTGGTGCGCGTGCGCAGCCGCGGTGAGATCAAGTGCGACTGGCGGCCCGGCCTCGCACCACCCCGGGAACAACCGCCACCAGACAGACCTTCCAGATGGGGTAAATACAAAAATACTTAATTCACTACTAATTAATGATCAGGACAAATTGACAGGAAATAATTGTCTTCATGTAAATTTGAGAGCGTCGGTGGCTCAGTGGTCAAACACTTGACTTGTAATCTGCAGGTCCTGGGTTCGCATCCCGCCATGTACCAATATTTTTTTTCGATTTCCGATTTGCATATGTAATATCCAACGTTTTTACGGTGAAGGAAAACATCGTGATGTAAGCTGCATATATCTGAGAAGAAATTCAAAGTTATGTGTGAAGTCAACACGCACGTGGCCAGCGTGGTTGACTATGGCCTAGTCATCCCTAACATGGGGTAGGCGCCAAGCTTCTCGGTTGAGACGTATTGTGAGCTCTTGATGATGAATTGTCTTCAATTATACACCAAGAGCTAAACAAGTTCTTTGGTACAGACTTAATACCTGCCTTTTATTTGTTAGTTATACTTCGTGATCTAGGACTAGCCTAAATGTTTTCTACGGTTAAAAAAAATGCAAAACAAAAGCTTAAATAAAGAAAAAATAGATTAAAAGGAGAAATTAGTTCTTTGAATATTTTCAAACTTGATAAATTACATGTCATATAATTTAAACTAACAGGTTTAAAACCCGGAGAGGTGAATATTGTACTTACTGGTGGGAGCGAGAGCGCGCAGACAGAAGTACCAACATCACAACAAGAAGAAATTCAACAACAAACACAACAACAACTGGGAACAACTCCGCTGCCATCTCCTCAACCTGTCTACAAAATACAGAGCCTTGCTAATCGCACAGACACGGCTACAGGAATAACTAACGGGTAAGTCTATCTGTTAATAACTCTGTATCTACAAGTTGCAATTTCAATTATTGGCTAAAACATACACAAACTTTGTGTGTGAAATTTGGTTGATCACACTATTCATCAAATATCAAAAATATGACAAGTTTCAAACAAAGCTGTATACTACTACTTTATAAATGAAGAAGCTAATATATATATGAAATTTGTCACGCGCATATAGTACAAAGTATTGTTTTAATTCTGCATAGACGAAGACGCGGGCTAGACGATCTAGACGATAAGAAGCTAAAATGTAAATTTTGACAAAGTTTTATAGCCTTTTTAGGCTCACCATTAGATATTATGAGCAAATTTTAGTACTAATTGTAATAAATATTGCATTTCATATAAAATATTAAGATCTGGATGGGCGACTGATTTTCAGATACGACGAAGCGTACATGGACATGTACGGAGCGTCAGACAGGCTGCAGTACGGGGACTGCTTCTCTGAGGCGCAGCAGGACGCCGCACGTCTCAGCACGCTCGATGCCAGGATAGACCACGCGCTTAAGACTACTGGTCAGTACATGGAAATCACACTGATATTAGCCTTTAATTTGCCGATTTATTCATAAATGGATGGATGGATGTATGTTTGAAGGTATCTTCAGAACCTCTAAACGGATTCCCTTGAAATTTGGCATACATATAGAACATAGTCTGAAAGAACACATAGGCTACTAAGTTTTTTTTTCAATTCCGCGCAGACGTAGTCGCGGTTACCAGCTAGTATAAAATAAATGTCGCATCTAGCCTCAATGGCTATGTTTCAATATAATGTTTCGGCAGTGGAAACTCAACTTAATAATTTGGATGGTTATATTCCAGTACTGGGCGAGGTGGCGAAAGAAGATTCACCTCCCGACCCTGAGAAAGACGCGCCGGAGAAAGGAATACTCGTCGTGTTAGTATAAAATTTGTCTTATTAATTAACTTCTACAATCAGTTATTTAACTGTGCCTTAGTGTAGTTTTCTGTTATTTAATTTACTCGAGGGCTCTCCGTTACTAACTATGAATACCTATTTAAGTTAATAAGATAAACAATAAGGGTATATTTAAGGAGGAATCTATATTAAGGATATTCTTTAGTCGTCAAGTAATAACTCTGCTTCCAGCAGACATTTAAATGATCTTATACATAAAATTATCTTATTATAGTGTAAGTTACCATCCTTCCAAACGGGTTGACCCAATTTTTATGAAATTTTATATGCACGTCCAGTATGTCTGAGAATAGGCTTCTTTGTGTCGAAGAATATCAATTTAAAATGACGCTAATTATTTAAATCGAATGCCAACATGTAGGTGTCAATAGTGTTGAGGCTGAATTTATATTGGAGCTCAATTTATTAAATAAAATAATGTCATTGGTAGTGGTCTTGGCATTGTCTGGAGACGGCGGCCGCCCCGTGTGCGCACTGACTGAGTGAAGCGAAATCGGATGGTGATATCTGCTCAGAAATCTCAGACATTTGTATTTTTTATCTCGTGCGGATAGAGTCGCGGGCGACAGCTAGTATATATAAATATGTGTGTTTTCAGGTCCGGTGAAGCAGGTCGCGGCGGAAAGCGCGTTAGCTTTGCAGATGGATACAAGCCCGGACAGGACTCGGATGTCGAGGAACCACCTGTTAAGAAGGTCAGTTTGTACAGTCACAGTTCCATAATTATAACAAACAATAAAGCTGATTATTTAAATCTTGTATACAAAAAATGTTGAAATGACTAAAATATGTATAATAAAACATACATATAAATTTAGAAACATTTACATATAATGAAACTATTATGTAAACGGCTAAATACTCAGTCCCACACACTGTAAAGAAGGGACCCCGATGAGTTCTAAACTAGTCAGTGCCAACAACGGACAAATACCTGAGTGCTAAGCCGCTTTTATAGATTATTTTATAATAATATCTCATGAGATTGAAATCGTTCAATAAAAATATATTAAATGTGAATGTTGTATGTACAGCGACGCAAGGTGCGGCGAGTGGGCTGCGCGTGGCCCTGCCCCGCCGCGCACCCCGACCACGTGCCGCTGTGGGATGCCCTGCCCCCGCCCCCACCCCCGCCCGGCTCCCCGCCGCCCCGCACCGCGCACCCGCCGCCCCTGCATCTGCTGCGACCTCATCCCGCACACCCCCCACACCCCGCACTCACACTGCCTCCCGCCCTGCGCAAACTGGGTCAGTACTTTTCCTTTTTTTCAGAGGGAATGCATACCCAACACAACACAACAGATAAAGCTCTCCAACAGACCTTGTTGTTGATGTCGACATCAAAGAGACGTTAAAAAATGTGCCACAGCCATAAAATATTCGTTAATTGCCTAGTGGGCAACGGCCTTATCCCATATACTGATCAGATATACCCCAAACTCAAAACATCAACACATAAATACTCCTCACAGATAGAAAAATACTCTTCCTGTAGGTATTTCTATATTAAAATAACTACTACAATACTAGTAATGCCATCTAGTGAAATTTTTCCTCATTACACGATTAGTTGTTTTGAATATTATTGTTATGTCAAAAATATTGTTTTTTTTTACTTTCAGATCCAAACGTGACGTTACCACTGTTCATACCATCAGAGCCGCCGCCTGCGCTCATCAGGTTCCCCTAGCATCCGCTCACACCCCTACTGCTGCTCAAATATAGATTATAATCTGATGTCTGTACAGTCAGCTGCAAAAACACCGTAGCAGATCAGATATCCAAATATATAGGAACTCTTAAATTTTTCAAGTGTAGAAGTACAACAAAAGTCGTCAAATTAATAGATACATTTACTATGCACAAATACATCGGATCAAGTCTTTCCCAAAGTGGGCGATAACGCCCCCTTGTGGGCGCTGCAGGTCTCAAGTTGCGGGTTATAGTAAAAGTTTCGTTTAGAATTCTCCGTTAATATACATATATAAATCACAATAATGAATTAATTTAATTTGAAGTTATAATGGTTTTTGAATATGTGAAAATATGGGGGCGCTAAAAAAATATTTATTCTCAAAGTGGACAGCAGACAAAATAAGTTTGGGAACCACTGTTCTAGACAATGATCCATCCATCCAAACATTCGCATTTATAATATTAGTATTGTTCACCTATATGCTACGAGATGGCGCCATTTAAATTTTCTTGGCGCCAAACTACGGAGCGGTGGCGGCCGCTTAATTGTTTGTCTTCTTGTCAACCTAAAGTAGTGTTAGTGAGTTTTCAATTTTTATAAAGTTTTTCCCAATTTAACATACAAGCAGATTACTTTACGAGTTCCTATATATTTGGATATCATGTCTGCTAGTCTATTTGCATCTGACTGTACATCTTTGTAACGGAATTAAAAAAAAGGTTTTATCAGAATTGAATGCGTATAAACTAAATGGAGATACTATATAAAGTTAAAAAGTTCATAATGAAAGTGTTTCCAACGTAAATAATCGTAAGTCTAATAAATTTGAAATTCTTGGTATTTTTAATTGGCAAATTACTATAAAAATAATAATTATTCTGGAGTAAATTTAAATAATACAATCAAACTTTGCATAATTTTGAGATACGATTATTTACTTCGTAGTAAACATTTAGAAGAGGAATAAGATAAAAATTTAAGGATAAATTTTCTTTTATTTTCACAGAATTTTTTATTTTTGTCATTTATTACTTTTAAGGCTAAAGTGTAAATAGAAAGTGTTATTTTTAAGATAAAACTAATAAAATTTAAATTTGTAAATCTTTATTTTAAAAAAAACTTAGTATCCCATACAACTTTGATTTATCGTTGGTTTCCGAAACCAATATCCCTACTTAAAACATATATATTCCTTTTTTCAAAGATTATGGAGTGAGGGATGATGTTTTAGTCTCGGAAATCAACTATAAATAATTTAGAAGAGAAAATATAAGTTATGGAGACGTTGATGTCGGTAGGATAACTTTAATTTTTTTATGAGTAACGAAGCAGTCGCTTAAAATCAGTTGGAACTATTCCATCTTCAATAAACAAAGTTCTCGGGTATAAATGAAACAACAGGCGTAAAAACAATAAAATAGATTTTCATTTATTGTGAGACGAAAAATACAACAATGGGACTTATGATCTAAAATGGTTAGTGGCAGACTGTCATGTCAAAACAAGTGGTTGTTGCAGGCGGCTGTTGTACTCTGCTCTCTGCTCTGCTCTGCTCCTCTACACTCCTAATTCATTATGTCTTTCATCGGGAAACACGTGGTAACGAATAAACGAAAATATAGCGAATATATCAACATACAAAACGATATCATGACCATCTATCACTGAAACCGTAACAAATATTAAACATGTGAACCTTGAATACTGTTCATCGTTAACTTTTTTTTAAAAAGGCTTTATTGATTTCCAAGCTAATACTTAATTACTTACAAGATCGTTTTATAGTTTGGTATAGCCTCCAGAGGGCGGCCTCACAAAACACAACGTAACAACTCTCAATACCTCTACTATGAAACGTTCTATACAAAATTGAACATTGCCGATTCGCTAAATCGTTTGACTTTATTATTATTATTTATTACTAAAAACAAGTGGGCGGCGAGCGGTGTGCCGCTCTCGGGCGCGTCCGACTCCTCACTAAGTCCTTTACATGTCTTACTTTATAACTTGAAAATGCCACTGCTGCGATCCTACGTCGCCTATTTGTGCCGCGCGAGCACGTCGCGGCCGCGGCGCACGTCACGTCACGCGCACGTCACGTCACGTCACGTCACGACCGCGCCGCGCTCGCGTTGCGCTATTGCTCATAGAGAAAAAATTCCAAAATCAATTCGTTACATCGTAGACTATATTTGTTTAATAAATTTGAAGTATTTATCAATAATCAATAAGTACATTATAATAATTGAATAATTAGTATTTGTTTCATAAGAGACTAGCATTACAAATAAATACCTTCAGCTATACAAGTTAATGTTTATTTCTATTTAAACATTTCGAAGATGTTCAAAGTGGACTACTGGCGGCGGCGCGCGGGCTCGGCTCGGCGCCACCTGGCGGTAGATGCGGCTACTTCGCGATATGACTTAATGTATAGGTACTTAGAATTAGGGGAAAAAGGTCGTAAAAACAAAAAGAAAAAGTTATTGAAATTTATAACAAACACCTTAACTAATAGTTGAATAATTTAGTCTGAAGAGGCGGCGGGGCGCGGGGCGGGGGCGGGGGCCGGGCTGCGGCGCGGTCAGGTCCCCGCCCCGCGCGCCGCTCGCTCGCTTCCCACAAAAGCAATACAAAACGTTACATTCCGTGTGAGATGACACGATGATGCTATGCGATAATTCCATGTTTTTTTTTATTATTTTCAAAAAACACACGCTCAATCGCTCGTTCTTGCGCTTAAATCTAAAATTAATAATTAGACAATATTTTTATTTGTTCAACAGACGCGCGGCGACGCGCGTATTATAATAAAATATTTTCAAAACAATCGCAATAAACACACTAGTTAACAATAACTTATGCTCCGACGCGCCGGGGTCTGCCCGGCGCTTCTAAATCAAATACGAACGTGGTATCTCCGTTTTTAAATATGACTTTATACACAATAGCGTTACGTTTACATAAGAGCGATGGCAGCGATGTGTTGCGCGGAGCGCGGGGGCGGGGGGCGGCTACACGGCGGTCTCGGTGTGGCTGTGGCTGGAGAGACGCTCCACGTCGATGTCGTGCGGCGCGAGGGCGTCACGCGGCTCGCAGTCCACGCTGGACGCGTGCGAGAACCGCTTGGCGAGCGCCGTCTGCTTGCGCAGCGCCTCCGCCAGCGCGGCGTCGGCCAGCGAGCCGCGCGAGTCCAGCCCCTGCCGGAACGCGTTCACCACGCGGATCTGCGCACGCGCATACGCTTTAGTACCGCCCGACGCTGCGGACGCCGGCCACAGCGCCGCTCTCTAGTTCCCATAGGGGACGTAGCTAATACTATTTTTGACAAATTATATTCACAAAAGAAGACGAGAAGAATAAAGCAGCTACGTCTCCGTGTAACCCCAGCGACAGACGGAGGCAGCATGGCCCCCGCGGCCGCCGGGCAAGTGAATTCCTGCGCCGTGCTCACACTTATATACATTGTAAATATGTAACAAACTTGCAATATTTAGTGCAAATAAAATAAGTGGGGACATTAAAGTAACAGGACAATATAGAACAGTTTTTTTTCAAACATTATATCATGTAAATAAAATTTTGTAATAATAAAAGATATATAAATTGCAACATTGATTGATGATGCGCTTGAGGAATTCAACTTGAAGGGAGCGAGTGCGGCGCGGCGGCCGGAGACGGCTCCATGTAATTCATTACAACAAATAATTTTATAAAATAGGTGTACACAAACGATCCAAGATTCAAACAACATGCGGTATAATATAAAAATATTAAAATAATATTTTATTATTTTATTTGAATCTTGGAAGCGGACCGATGGCACAACATCGATGGAACAATCCCGAAGGAGCGGTTCCGTGAGGAAGAGTTGTGTACAATCGTAAACATAAATGAAAGCACACTGAGCCATTAATAAAAGAGGCCAGAAAGCGTAGGTTATTCGAAATTCCAGTCACAGTCGACCGCGCGGGCGCCATGCCATGCACTTCGCAAAACGTTCGCTTCGGTTCTGAATACAGACATCTCGGTGGGCGGGGCTAGTGCGTCAGTATCGGTGTAGGCCTAGACTATTCGGTGTCGGCCCCGACCTGTCGGTGTCGGTCCGGACTCGTCGGTCTGTGATCGTGCTCTGTGACTGCATTCGGACCTTCTATCGGCTACAGAAGCGCGCTGCGACACGAAGCAACATCCGACCACGAATTCCGAAGCACGGAAGCAAGCTGGTCCTAACCTAACCACAACCTGTCGTAAGCTGACGTTGTCAAACTAAAAGCTGTACCGTTGATGTAATGCGTTGACATGAACTTCTATGAGACCCTGGTACTCTGTTCTATGGTCGTTTCATTTTAGTTAAATTGTGCACGAAATGAAGCAAAAGAAACACACAAACACTATACAAGATGAATGATGCCAAATTAAAAACTTAGCCACGATGTAAAAATGTAAAAGACTTTACAATATCCCAAAGCGTGCAAATTTAACCAGTGTTTACTAGATTTTTTTATATCTTGAATTGCAAAAGCTTAGAATCGGTGCGGGAATGTTTATCTATATTTTTTAATCTTAACAATAAAAGTACTGTTTTTATTACAAATTTAGAAAATTAAAGAAAATAGTACGTATTGAATATTTAGAAAAAAGCATTTTGGATGTGTTTTAGATTTCAATAATGTTAAATTAATGAATGGATACATGTTATGGACTATGCATTATTAATTTTCTCTAATTTTAACACTAAATATATTACGTATGCATTTAAAATTCAGCATCATATTAAATAACATTAATTCATATAAATTTCATAAAATTTGCACAAAACAGTTATAAATACAGCGAAAACGTTCTCCAACAACTGAAAAAAAAAACAACAAATAATGAATTAACAGCCCATGCTTGGATACTTAAAATGTGGCATGCGTTATACACTGACCGATCTGTTACAACTAAAAAAATCATCACAAAACATTAACAACACCATAAAATAAGAGCTGACATACACGGACTGTTTAAACTAATCTGTAACAGTCACTGCAAACTGCAATTCCTCTCGAAATACAGACTACCTGCAGTTCGTGTGTTTCAGCCCTTATTCTGTTGCCACTGAAAGGTCAGAGTACACAAAGGGACTGTTGCGGAATGTATACAATTTGTAAGTATAGAGTAAAGTTCAACATAAACAAAACAAAGACGAACATAAAGTGAAAAAAGAGAGGGTAGATGTGAGTGATAGAGCAGGCTTTGTGTAATCTTACAGCTTGATCGGTTGAGGTCTTGCTGTAGGGCACCGGGATCAAGCGCTCCTGTAACTCTCCACCTATGACCTTCCGGGTGCAATGGGGATTCATGGAAAAGAAAATAAAAACAAGAACATGAAGTAAGACTCACGATACGAGAAGAGAAGCAGAGGACCGTAGTCCCTTGCGATAGATAGTCGGTGCTAAGTAACCAATGCTATTCTTTATAACACTACAAATATTTGTAACTAATTTCTTTACAAAACAATTTTACAGATAAAGAGTTTTTACTCTAAATAAAAGCTCAAAATATCTCTGTCAGTATTCACATTTGTAAGTAAAATTAGGAATAGCGTTCGTTACGTTTCGTATGGCACACGACAGCTCCGACCGAAGCGGTGCCTCGCGAAGCAAGGAACAGACTTTAGGAAGAAGATTCCAAATCAAAATTAACACTAGAACATAAATAAACGCTGGGTTTACATCCTATGGCTTTAAGAAGCACATTCATGGGGGTGTGCACTTAAAAACTATTTTATTTTTTTTATTTTACAGTATCCATCCAGGGCTCCTTTATCCGTTTAACATAAATAAAATAACAAAAAAGAAATCATATTTTAAACATTGATCTGTGATACATAAATGTTTGGTGTATATAATTTAAGCAACATCGAAACAACTTTTGTTCTTCTCGGTTTGTCTGTGTGTGCGTGTTTCGTTCGTGTCTATAGCTTCTTTATGTCATGCTCTAAAAGCACATATATGTAACGAATTGCTCAGTTGCTCACATACCAGATTCTAGTAACATATGTCTAACATACAAGCATGTGACTATTCATCTACTAACATTCCTACAACATTTATTAAATCGATCTAATTTGTGAAAGCGGTACACATAATTACGTATTATTTATCTATACATTTACTATATACATTATGAATTTTATTCCAAAACCATTTCACAGCAAATGTAAGAAATGGTCGTTGAAATAAAAGTCACGTGTGACGCACGCGCCGTACAAGATGGCGGCGTGCTGGTGCAAGCAAGCGGCCAAGATGGCGCACGTCACGCGGCACAACACATACAGTCCCAGAACGGCCAGTTACCTTATAACGCAGCTCCGCAACGAGGCAGTCGGGTGAAATGAAAGTTACTTTTTTGGAGTACAGATTACTTTATTACTAAAGTTTAAGAAAAGCGTTAAGAGGTATAGAGCAGCCATACCATACTAGAATTATAGAAATTTCAGATGCTATGTTTCCCCGATATATTTTTAGCTCTTTATATAAAGGCGTTCACGAGACTGCTAAAAGCGAAGTTTTAAATTTAGAAAATATTAAAATTATTATTTTTGTTTACATCTAACTTATTATCGGTTTACAACAAGACACGAAGTTTAAAATGTTATTAATATTAAGTTTATTAAGTTTAGCATTATTATAAAGTTCACTACGAAGTGCAAAAGGTGATTTAGCTATCCGCACATAGACATTAAATAGTTTATATATAAAAACATCAAAGTATCTTTAACCCCATTAAGATACTTAAATTTGCTTGAAATCTGAAGAGGGAAATAAAAATTATAAAAAAAAAATAAGGATCTTAATCTTGGAAGACTAAATATAAGGAATTTGTGTGTATGTGTGTGTGTTTATCATATATAGTTTGATATAGAATATATTAAATACATGCTTTCGAATGAAAGTACATATATATTTAAGTACTATCTATTTCACATGCACGTAGAGAAATCAGTAGCTAGTTTTGTCAAAAATATGTATCAACACACAAATTTTTGCCATTAAAATAAAAAAAAAGTTATATGTTTACACAAATACTACACAGCATAGTAAAAAAAATCAATCACATCAATAGCATAAACAAAAAAAAAAATAGAAAAAAATAACAAGCAAATTTAAATATCGTCAGACCCTTAATAATTAAATATTAATAAAAGCAGAGTCGTACAAAATTATGTGCCAACTCCTTTATATAAATAACATCCAATTTAACGCGTATTAAAATATATCATATCAACTTTATAAAGAAGAAAGGCATCGCAAATATTTACAGGAAATCATTTTTATATTTTTCATATTAAAAACAAAACAATCGAACTATGTTCCTTTCGGCGAATTAAATGCCGCAACACCATTAAATATTATATTTTATATTTTGAAATTGTGCACCATATTTACGATTATATTCTAATTTTAATATTTTATTTCTCGAAAATTCCTAATCAAATCTTAACCTAATCTTTTTAGTGAACAATATCGTTATTCGTAAAGTATTTTTAAAAATTTTATCATTTATAAATTGCGTCTAATTTAATGCGTCTGGGATTAACTGGCAGTTATTAGTAGATTTAAGAATAACATGGCAACACTACATATATTGGTAGCAGTACAAATGTCAAATGAATTTAAATTTCGAACGATTTTTTTAATTAAATTTTAATTCAATGGTTATAGTTTTGTTACTAATCGTCATTTTGATTTAGTTGAGTCGTTTTAGTTTTGTTGAGCTGTTTTAGTTGGGTTGATTTGTTGTGTTTTAGTCATCGCTCTGATGCGATACGGGACTGAGTGCCGGCAGGGAGCTGCCGCCGGATTGCACGCTGATCCTCCGGTGTTCCGCCAAATAATTATTGACAAATATCCGACGGCCGGCCAATATGTCCGCCTTTTGCTGTAAAACAACATCACGGAGGTTTCAGTGGGCCGCCGCGGCAAGTGTTGCCCGTAAACAAGTGTCCCCAGATGGGTATTATAATTTTTCCCCAACATTTTGGTAAAAATTCCATATTTTTTTGGGAAATTTCTTTATCATGAATTTTGAATGATGAGTTTTCATTTTCATGATTTTAAATGATTACACAAAAGTAATACAAAAACACTTTGAAAATACTTTTTTGAGTAAAAGTATTAATGTCAAATTTTTTTCACTTTTTTAAACACGCAAATCACAACAAAACAAAGAAATCCCAATCTGGAGACACTAACGCAGCATGGCTTTTTTTGCCAGTACGTAAAAAAATCGGTGTTCCAAAATCAAAAAACTAAAAAATTTTTAAAAAAATATTTGGCTTTGGAACACCCTCTACTGTGATTTAACTAATTAGTAAAGTGGGGAGTATTTATAAAGCATTATCGTTTGTTAGTGGCTATAGTCGACTAGGATTAGGGGGCATTCACACTACCTGGGTCGAGGGCATCCACTAGCGTATACTAATATAGATAAAAAATATTGTAATCATTCGTATTTACCGTGTTTTAAGCGACTACGAATCCGGTATGTGAGCTACTTCGCGAATTTTAATAATTTCGGGGAAAATTGGACGTGTTCAAGGTAATCTTCAAATGAAATATCATTACAATTGAAATAAATAATTTTATTCAAATGAACTTTTTTTTTTTAAATATTAAACTGGTAGTTTATATAGCCGGTTAAAATGTTTAAAATTAAAAAGTAAAACCTCTCGTTACATGAAAAATAAATTAGTTTAAAAAAAATCAAATCAACTTATTAAATAAGTACTTACACAACCGAGTCAACGATAAAAAAAAATGAAATAATTATATAAGCCGTTTAAAAAAAGGGGGTTTTAATTATATATAAGGTTAAATTTTTATTTTTTTAGTTATTGTGGAGGCATTTTGTATTCATCAGCACTTTATTTTTGTACGACAACTTATATACTAGTGTACGAGATTGTTATTGTGATATAATGATTATATTTCTCCTACGTGTGAAATACTATATTAAAATAACATTTAAAAAAATCAAAGGTCGCCCGACAACATAAACGTGACAAAATCAACTGAATGACACTTTACATTGTCAGAGACCGTCGCTTACAAAATACAAATTGTGCATACTCACAGACATCGGTATACATGCATAACGCTGTAACATAAGCACTTTCACACTTTAAATGCCAAGCGAAAATAATTAGAATACAAGTTCAAAAGGAAAAAAAAAACAACATTTGTACCAAAATAATGAAACATTGTAACATTTCTTCAATATATACTCTGTACTTACAATCTAAGAAACGGCCGCCATTTTGCGGACCGATGCCGGCCACAAAATGGCCGCTCGCGCGCAGTTTCAACCTCTGTTGCGAGGCAGTCGTCAGATAATGCGACTTATCGACGTACAGTCGGCAGTTGTATTTTGTGACGTATCATAACATAATAAGGTCGCTATTCGTTCGACGGGAGTGAGTATGTACCGAAGAGTTGACGTGCAAGACACGCTCATGCTCTAACTAGCGTTACTCGAGTGTACCTAGGTCCCGCCGGCCGCCCAGGGCGAGGGCGCGGGGCGCGGGGCGTGCGGCCGCCGGCAGGGGGCGCGCCTGGCCCGCGGACCTAAACTTACCGTTAACATCTGAAATAGAGCGGTTCTGCTAAAACTGGGCGGCCCCCATCATGCATAACGAGTGGCGAAAGAAAATGCTATGGAATTTGCTTCAAATTTTATTATTAATTGTAAATAGTTATCAACAAAACAATGTTTTAGTTCTACAGTTGTAAGAGTTCTCTCGTGTCCAAGTACAAAGAGGCTGCGAGCGTCACGTGACTCACGGAGTGCACAGGGAGGGCTGAATCAGAAAATGCACTGCGTGCGGGCAGACGCGCGGCGCGGACGCGGACGCGGACGCGGCCGGCCGCCGGGCGCCGGTCTAACGTCACTAGCGGGTTAAAGTGGTCCCAATTTACTATGAAAGAAACAATTATAACCGAGGGGAGGTCGGACGAGTTTGAAAAGATCACGTTCGTCGACGTACTCCTATATAGACTAGTTACAAAGAAAGCTAGGGAGAGAATATGATTTTTTTTTAACATTATCTTGGTAAATTTTAAATCGATAAGATTAAAACGTTTCACAATTCCACGAGTCGCGTCTATCTATAATCTCTATATAAAATATCACTGCTCCGATATACATAAAAAGACGTTTGAGAAACTTCTTACATATTTACAAACATGTTCATATCTAAATAGCAGTGTTGGTTACATTGTCGCTCTGGACAGTCGGGGCTAGGAGAGTCTAGTCCTAGGAGAACAGTTCAACATGTTGACGCTACAGCACGAGGTCGTGTCCGCCGACATGGCGGTGACAGGACACGGCTCGTCACCCGCCAACTCCATAACTATGCAACTTTATTGCTATCGACTACCTAGTTTCTAAAAATTTCAACACTTATTTAAAAAATTCTTAAACCTAATACAATTTAAGACTCAAAGACGTTTTTTCGTATAATAAAGCATAATCATAAGTAATCGAGGTGTCGTAAGATCGCGCTGAGATTTCGCGGTTAAATAGCGTCGGTTAAGTACGTGTCGGTCGAGCGGGAGTCGTGTGGGGAAGTGTGGGGAGTGGGGGCAGCGGAGGGGAGTCCGGCAGTACGTACGGTACAAAAACATCTGCAAACACAGTCACAATGTAACAAAACAGTAAATGGGCGGAGCGGGGCGGGGCGGGGTATGTTGAAGCTCTATATGTGTAGGTGTGTCAGTGAGGTGCGGACGCGTGGCGCATGGCGCATGGCGCGGGGAGCGTTAGAATATGGTGGTCTCAGTGCGCGCGGCGGCCGCGTTGGGCACGTCGTCCGCGTCGATGTAGGCGATGTCCTGGGGTGGTGCGCGCAGGCGCGAGCGCAGGCCGGCTGCAGAGTGCGCCGACAGCCGCTCCTCGAGGTCCTCGAGCGTCGACTTGAACGCGCGCACCACGCGCAGCTGCAACCAACACAACCCTCCCAGTGCGCGCCCGGCCCCCTACACCCTCGCCTAGCGCCCCTAGCGCACCGAGCGCCCCGAGCGCCCCTAGCGCCGCTGACCGACACACTACGCCACCGATATACCGAGTGTGGTGTGGATGTTATCGACTATGCCTGTATTCAGAGTATCAAGTGTGACGGACGTGTCTACGCATGCAGCTAACGGGAACACGTGTGCGCGCCGCGTGCGTCTCTGAGACGACCGCGCTGGATGGCCGATGATGGCGCCATGCTGACTGAACAAACACTAGGTGCTAGCGACAACTGGTACTGGAGCGACGCGCCGACGCCTCCGAGCGGAAGGTCAGACACGTGACAAAGCGGGGCGATGGGGCAATGGGGGGTGCTCGTGTCCGGGCGGCGGTGCGGGCGGACGGTGCCAGATGAAGGACAGCGAGTCTACCGGGGCAGACGTGGGATGCAGCACAGACGGGGAACAGAACTATTGAAAACTATCGCGGCCAGCCCACGACACCGGCTCACACCTTCCACATCACTTTACGACACTTGCTTTTGGTCAGTCGGAGTGTCTTTATAATGACATAAAAAAAAACTATAAAACTAATGAAACAATAAAAATCTTAGATTGAATAGTTTTAAATGATCAATAATCAAACATAATTACTATGAAAATTTTTTAGTTAATTTGTCAAAAAAAAAAAATCATCTCGTGAATTTAATTTATTGATGACTTAAAGCATTTTAGCTGTCAAAGTAATTTCAGTGAGCTGCGGGTGTCGCGCGGTGGTGTGGGGGTGTGGGGGTGTCGCGGAGGTAGTGCGCGAGCGTGGGCCGGCCGCTCGGCTACGCGCTAGGGTTGTACCGTGAGCGTCCGTCGTGCGCAGCGCGCCGCCAGCCGCCGCGCCCGCCACTACACCTCGGTCTCCAGCACCGGCCGGGGCTGCCAACAACATCTCTCAACGACGCGCGGCTCGCCCCATTCGACACCGTCCTACGTGCGCAGCCCTAGCTTTACAACTTGCTCCACATCCAGATTTGGGGGTTTTATATCGCTTCTATACGTCTGTCTCTCACTAAGTACGCTTTGTTCGCCTGGCATTTGCAAGGAAATCACTGGACAATCAGAATATGGAAATTGTTTTACATCATGTTCATTAAATTATTTTAAAATGTAATTATTTTATTTTTTACTTTCACTTTTCGCTGGCAAAGTACTGGCTGGCTGGAAAGGAATGTGACAAAGTGTTAGTCTTTTTATAAAATTAAAAATTCTTCGTTTTTTTTGGTTTTATTTTTATTTCAGTTAGAATGGTTATTCAACATTTTAAATATTTTTTTAATGTTTTTTTTTAAACTTGTCCAGGCGAATAGAGCGTATTTTAATTAGCTTTTAAGTTTTATACTTCAAATTACAACCCCATATCTGTCGTCTGAAAGCAGGCCAACACGGAAAGAGTGGAACCTTTTTCGTAACACAAGAAAAAAAATTAGAGAAAGAATAAAAAACAAAATTTAAAAACGGAACAGTGTCTGGTGTATACTGTATGCGGCCATCTTGCGGCCGGTGTCACGTGATACGAATATGACTCGGAGGTGCCCAAAAAAAATGAGAAACGATCAACCAAAAATAAAAAAAAAACAATGAAACGAAAGAATCTGTTATTGAAAACTGAAAATGGGAGTCGAATCGAGGCCTTAGCTACATCCTGTAGTTCAGCTTGCTAGACTACGCCTAGACAACGCAGGGATGACACCTAGGAGGCTTTGTGGGGTCAGTGGGATCTCTAGCACTAGCACTTCGTCGCCGGGTAACACCTAATGCACCACTAAATGGCTTTAGCGTCTCATACGTTTATTGATGGGTTTTTTATTCTTTTTATTTATACAGCATGTTTTAAATTTAGATCTAATATCAAATTCCATATGCCTGAAATGTGGCGGCACGCATTTTATCTCGTCATTTTATTAATTGTGATATTAACAGGTATTTAAACTACCATGCCTTGTTATAGGTTTGTTAAACATTTATCGGGAGCCAAGGAGGTACAAACATTTGGCCTAAAAGGTTCATGAAAGACAATTTACAATTGTGAATAATAAAACACATAATGATCCAAAATAGGACATTAAAAATTAAAAATTTAATTATTAACACAATTGTAAAGTCTTACGAATATTAGAAAGCTACACGGAATCACTTTTTTTAATAAAAAAAAATTAAAAAAACTAAAACCTCAACACGTTATTTCTAAACACGATACTCACCGAGACATAGCGGCGTCGCCTACGCGTGTCGCTATATACATTTAAAACATTTTATGGACAACTACAATAAGCCTATAACGCAAAATAACAGCAAAGGCATTTTTCCAATTGGCAAGGCAAGGCAAACTACTGACATTGACAAATCCCCATCGTTCAGTTTGACGCTTACACCCGTCTGACTTCCCCCATCCCTTTCCCCCAAAAAAAGTACGGCTCGAACAACATTCATGGACAAAAAACAAAAAAAACAAAACAAAAAAAAACAACACTCAAAAAACACTGACAATACAACAGCAAAAGGAAAAAAGACGTTCGATCGAAGACGGTTACAATTCAAACAAATGTTAGTACGTCGAGCATACGCGGCATGCTCTCTAATGAAAAAAAAATGTGTATTGAACATTTTTCTAAAATATTTTTTTTTAAACTATATCCACTCCACACTCTAAATGAACGGTATCGTTTGGCAGTAACTTGAACACAATTCGGCATAAACAAATTATACATTCAAATAATAAATTTAAAAACATATAACAATTAAAAAATGTTACTGCCAATTTTTTTTTTGGGATATCGGTAACGTGATGTTAGTCGTCGCCTCAAATTTGTGAACATACGGCGTTTCATTCAACAACAGCTTGGGTTGCTTTGGATCAGTAACGAGGATGTATTGGGCTGGCGTATCACAAGCAAAAAAAAAACACTATTCTTAAAGTAAACAATTAAAAAAAAACAGACAAAAAATAGTAAAAAAAAAATCAAACAGTCAGTATGACTAAGAGAAAAAAAAAAGATAGAGGAGAGAAAGAGATAGTCATATTCATACCGCCATGTAGTTAATGTTGAGTAGATTGGATATATAAAAATTATATTCTATAGGACATAGTCATAGTAACTGTTTGAAGGATACAATTATGAGGGATAAGTAACATCGTCTCAGCCTACATAAATCGCATGCCAATGGGGTCGTGGTACAGGGGTGGTGGTTGTGGTATATAAAAAAAAACAAATCATAGTCAAATTAAAAAATAAAAGGGAAGCGTCAGACTGGGTTCTCTGCGGAGCATGCAAGGCCGGTACTCGCGATGTTTAAAGGCGTTCTAACTATAGTGTAACAACAAGGCCGGTTCCATGACAGCCAGAGTGAGCGAGACAGCAGTATATAGTTCAAAGAACAGTAAGAGACGGAGATATCAAGAAAATAGAAATGAGTCAAAAGATGTCATGAAACCAGGCTGAAAATTATTTTTTTTTAGAGTAAAAAACATAAACTAGTGTAGCAAGGTACGATTGCCAATTTTGTTATAAATTTACTTTAGACAATTTAAAAACAAATAAAAAAAAACAAAATTAGCAATCGTTATGTTGTAATCTACGTTAATGGGCCAAAGTATCGTAGCGTTTCTACAAAATTTACTGTGTAAAGTGTTTCTCTGTAGGTATATATATATAGAAAATAATTATCGAATAAGAACAGAAGTATAGGAGAATGGAAAGTAATTATGAGACGTAAGAAAAAAAAAGGAGAGTAAAACAAAAAAAAATAAACAAAAAATAATGAACGTAGAGTTTGTTTACGGTAAGATCTGAAATTTTTTATACTGTGTCGTTGGAAATTTTTTTTTCTAAAACCGGCTATACCGATAAATAAGGAAAGTGTAAAAAAATTATTGTTTACTATACTATGACGTTTTCTATATGAATGCTTAATTATAAATAGTGGTTATATTCGGCTTGTATATAATAAAAGTATATATATATTATTATATGTATATAATGGAGTCATATCGTCGACTTAGCGTGAGGATGCCCAAGGTATCCGCAGTGTTGACCTGTTGACTTTGCTGATTTTTTTTAGATTTTTTATTATTTAAAAAAATTTGCTGCGAACTTTCAACTTATCCCTCTTTAAAACACCAACATTTCTGCCACTCCTATATGCTTTTTTATTATTAAATCATTATATTTTTTTATTTTTTTTAATTACTTTAGTAAGTTTACTTTTATTAAACTTTTTTTTGTAGTAAACTTATCAAAGTATAAATGTCGTAGAATAATCATGGTTTTTTTTTTAAATTAATGAATTTTTCAGTCTTTAATTCACAGCCGCTTGAAAACCATGATTTTATCTATGACAAATTAAAATGACAGCATTTTGCGAACTTTAAAAAAATAGCAAAATACTGTAATTAAAAAAAATACTGTAAAGAATTGTTCAAAATTTTGATTAAATTAAAAAAAAAAACTATTTTCAAAGAACAATTTTTTACAGTATGACACATGATATATTCAAAAAATAATAGAAATCTCCCCACTGTATTACTTTTTCAAATTCCCATTTTACGAGGACAAAAATCAACATAGACCCCCTTTTAAGGCAAACATTGACCCCCAAAAAATACAAAAAAAATAATCACACCCCAAATGCGAATAGGCCGATTAAATTATAAAAAAAAAGTTTTTTATTAAGACCATATGAAATCGTTACTTTGATTTTTTACTTCTTTGGTTATTTATTTGTTAAGGAAATGTTTAAAAAGAAAACTGGTAGTAAGGTTTATCAATAGATTTTTTAAACTTATTACGTCGATAAAGAAATACATCACTATGGGGTTAAATTGACTTAACATTTGATCAAAGTATATTTCTATCCCTCTCATTCTTTTTGTAAAAACTGAGACAGCTATATTTTTTTTAAATTCAAATTTAGAACAACGATGTATCGGCCTATTCGCGTGACGTCACAGTGTCCCCGGATGGGTGCGCGTGCGCATGCGTACCTGCGTCTGGAGGCGCGTGAGTCCGCGTATCCACAGGATCTGTCCGGCGCGCGGCTTCTTGTCCAGGTCCGCGTCGTAGTCCGGACCCGGCTGGATGGTCTCGGGGTCCGGCTGGCCGCGGCCCCAACTAACATACATCGGGTTAGTTTCATTAATACAAATATACAAAATAAAGACATTTTTTTTAATTAATTTAACCTATCAACTTACAATTAGTAATTAACTAAAAGTTGTTATTTTCTTAATTTTATAATACTAAAAAATCGACCGCATCTTAATATTATAAATGCAAATGCTTAGATGAATGGATGTTTGTTTGTTTGTAGGTATCTCCAGTACGACTGAACGGATCTCGCTGAAATTTGGCATACATATAGAACATAGTCTAGAAGAATACATAAGCTACTAATAACGTTTTTTTTTATTAAATTCCGCGCTGATGCAGTCGCGGGCGAGGGCTGCTGTTTCATATTTTATAAAGAAAAATAACAATGGTAGGAGTAAGAATACTACGATATACAGAAGAAAATTTATAAATTGTAGTATAAAAACAAATATAGTTATACTAACGAGAGTTTCTTGGGTATCTTCCTAGTGGGCACGGTGGTGACGAGCTGGCCCCACACGAGGGTGCCGGCGCCGAAGAACAGGCACCACAGCCATTGGTCTATCGACAGACCAGCCGTACTGAACGCCATGCCGCCGAACTGGATTATTATCACCTGGAAACATTGGATATACTCATTTAAATTCAAGAAAAAATAGAGACACAGGAGAGGGAAAAGAAGTTTCGTTTTTCTGTATTTTCTTCCATCAATTAAAAATAGGTCTTCTTTTATCTGATTTCATCAAAATACAAGCTACAGTTTTTAAAATGAGTTAATTTCGTAGCTTACAAGTATTCATTCTTTGTTCACATAGTCATTCATTCACCGTTCATTCGTTCATTACCTGAGATAAAGGATACCAAAACTTAAGTACCTTGCAATCGTTGTCTTGTCGAAGTAATCACGAGGAACGTGACAGGATGTCATTCATTCATTCATTCAGTTCGTTCAGTTACCTGAGATAAAGCAGTGCCGATCCATATCGAGTAGAAGATGGGATTGGTGAAGAGTCCTTCGAATACATTCCTCTGTCCGTGAATCTTGCGCGCGTTGATTTCATTGAAGAGTGTCATCATGACGAAAGTGTTGAAGATGATGGTGAAGTGCTGCGTGGGTTCGGAGCCGAGTGGCTGACCGCGACCAGATGGGATGTTTAACAATCTGTCACCTGGATCATAAAATATGATTTTTTTATAACAGAAGTAGTAGAAACATGCTTACTAATATTTTTGCGAACGTTTGGATGTATGGATGGATGGATGGATGTTTATTAGAAGGTATGTCTAGAACGGCAGTATGGATCTTACTGAAATTTGGCATAGCACATATGCTAATATATTTTGTAAAAAGTAAACAATAGTTTGTTTTTATATATCATTGAATAATTTGTTAGAACAGGGAGACGTATAGGAAGGGAAAATATTCTCTTTCTATGCGCCCTTCGCCGATTAAAGGCAACTGTCTGATTAAAGGATGTCTATGGGCAAAGATCGCTTCGCTATTTCGGCGAATTCATGTGGCCATTGTTTTACGCACCTACAAATAGCAGTGAGAAGATAATAAAGAGCTGGTAGATGGCCTGTCCGAGGATGTTCTTCATCATGGTGCGGCTGATGAGGGGCTTGGTGCGGCCGTAAGGCTTGCGCTGCAGCAGGTCAGGTGTGGGCATTTCCGTAGCCAGCGCCAGCGACGCCAGAGTGTCCATTATCAAGTTCACCCATAACATTTGTACCGCCTGGAAACAAAATATTGTCGATTAAAAATTATCTAGCAAAGTAAGTATAAGTGCGTCGGTGGATCAGGGGTTGAGCCTTGACTTGCAATGTGCAGGTGCTGGGTTCGTAACCCGCTTTGTACCAATGTGTTTTTCGATTTACATATGGACGTTAATCCGAGCTTCTTATGGTGAAGGAAAACATCGTGATACTGCGCAAATCTGAGAAGAAATTCAAAGATATGTGTGAAGTCAACCCGCACTGAACTTTGGTAGACTATGGCCTAGTCACCTCTAATTTGGACTAGGCTCAGAGTCCCTCCTGGGAACGTATAGTAAGCTGATGAAGGTGAACATAAGTCAAAGACGCTGTCGGGTTTCTGAGAAATCTGACCGCGATCAGTGCCCTCTTACTTATGCGTGTCGTACCTTTAGAGGACTGTCCTGTATCGCGCAAGCACCAATGAATGCCACAATGACAGCGACCACGTTCACAGTGAGCTGGAACTGCAGGAACTTTGCGATGGAGTCGTACACGTTGCGGCCCCACATCACAGCCTTCACGATTGACGAGAAGTTGTCATCTGTCAGAATGATGTCAGACGCCTCTTTGGCGACGTCCGTACCCGCGATACCCTGGTAAATACAATATTGTTAAATAAATTGTAGGCACAAGTTAGCATTGTAATCTTGACTTGACATCTATCAAAGTAGAGAAAAGCTGTCTTTTGTTCACTATAGATGTCACTGTAGATTCCCTTCCCACACTTTTTCTTATAAGGGAAGGATGGGAAGTGGAAGTGGACTTTCCGGATGAGAGGATGGATGGGAAGAGAAGATATTTTCTTTCTGTGCATCCTCTCCTCCGTCGTAGATACTCTGTAGATTTTAGTAATAACAACGACTAGATAGTTCATCAAAGTTGCGGCTTTGTCTGCGCCGAATTAAAAAAAAGCTCTAGACTTATTTGACATCTGGGCCAAATAACATAGAGATCCATGAAGCCGTTCTAGAGATAACTTCTAACAAACATCCATCCATCCAAATATGCGCATTCATAATATTAGTAAGATGTATATACCATAGCAAATCCGACATCAGCCTTCTTGAGTGCTGGACCATCGTTGGTGCCGTCTCCTGTGACAGCGACCACCTCGCGTGTGTCAAACGCCTTGGACTCGATCATACCCTTCACCAGAGTGTACTTGTCAGTGGGGGAGGAGCGCGCCAGCACGCGCAGCTTCGGCCACACCTTGTCGATCAAACTCTGTTGGACCTACAGACAGACATACACACATTTTATATTTACTTAGCTAAACAAAAATAGTACCATGATTATGTTCTACATCTATGACAAATTTCAACAAAATCTGATTGACGAATTGGAGATATCTTCTAACATTCATCCATCCATCCATTCATATGTCCATCCATATCAAATTTACTAGCATATATAAAAGTAGTGAATTATTCAAGAAGTTGTATTAATTTTGCAATGTACTTTACTTTTAACACATTTTATAGGCAAAAAAATCTCTTCGTAAAACTCTTGGTCCTTTGAGTCGGATCATACCTCTCCATTAGCGTCTCGGATCCTCTTGTTGAACTCCTTGCCCTCTAGAATGAGGAAGTCATCAGTAGGCTTGAGGATGCCACATTTGATGGCAATGGAGCGCGCCGTGTTCACATTGTCGCCTGTCACCATCCGCACCGTGATGCCCGCCTTCTGGCACTTGCGGATAGCCTCCGGTACCTGCGAATTAACATTTTATGGTTAGAGCTATGAAGTTCAATTTGGTTATAAAGACTTTTAGTTGAGTTGTACAATTTTTAGCAGAGTAAGCTATGACAGATGCCAATACCATCCGTTGCACGAATATGCCTCGCTTGGTGCAATACCACGACCACACAGAAGATAAGGGGTAAAGTGGAAGAAATTCCGAGTACCGCCCGACGTGTGTGGGCTGGAAGCCTAACTTTAGTCTTCTTTCCCTTCCCATCCTTTTCTTATAAGGTAGGGATTGGAAGGAATACATAGGAAAGAGAAATATTCTCTTTCTATCCATCCCTTCATCTGTTGATGAAAAGTAAGCGACGGATCTACAGATGTCTATAGGCAGTAGTCGTTTGCCACCTTTTAATATAAAAAATCTTAGATTTATTTAACACATGGTCAACTAAAGTTAATAAGTATATTAAAAATGTTATATGTTGTTTTGTACCTCTGGTCTGACGGGGTCCTCGATACCAACAACACAGAGACAAGTGAGATTGTTTACGATGTTGTCTTCATCGTCCCAGTTCGGCTCTTGGTCTATGTGCACCTGCGCACAAATAATATACTATATTATAATCTAAAATTAAAAAAAAACAAGGTAAAGTACTTAAAAAAGCAATAATACAGACTGATTGATACTGGCAAATTTTTTAGTTTACAAAATTTCCATTTTTATCTTTTTTTGAGATTTTTCTTTTGAAAAATCCTTCATTAAAGATTTGCTTGTATTTATAGCTACCATCAACCTGCTATATTTAATGATGATGATTTTAGGGATCCGTACCTCGAAAGGAAAAAAAACGAAACCCTTATTGGATTACTTTATTGTCCGTTCGTCTGTCAATACCCTTTTTTAATGTATTATTTCCCAAGTTACCTGGTTGATATCAGCCTTTCCGGGCACAAAGTCCCTGTATGCGACGGAGATGGTCCTCAGTCCGTCACAGGCCATGGGTTCAATGACCTGCTTCACCAGCCGGTCCTGCATGTCGCGGGTGAACTTCTCCAGGCGACCCTCGTGACCATAGATAAACGAGCACCTGAAATTATGTAAAGAAAAAAATATAATTGGGATTTATAAAGCAAAATAAAAGGATTTAAAGCCTATTTTACACGAGGACAGAATAGTGACACAGAGTAGTATATAGTGTAGTTTTGTATTAAATAATATATAAGATTTGTTGACGCCGTAACACCGCGTGATAAGCAACACACTACCAAGTGTGACTTGAGTTTTATAACTATTTTTATTTTTTTATTTTATGTAGTCCTCTCATTTCCATATTTAGATGCCTATTTGAGTTAGACTTCCTCCCAAATTTCTTTTGTGGGCTTAGCACGAATATTTACGACAAGCGTCTTCGTATCGTCATTTATGACAAAATTAGTACGAGATTTTTAGTGTATTTTAAGCCCGATAGGGGACGCTGCACAAATTTTGTCGATTCGTGATAGGTCCAATGATATTTCCAAAGGTAATGAAATAATACAAACTTTTTCAAGACAATTTCTGAAGCTCCCTTAGTATAGAGGCGGTATCCCCCCTTGTAAGGTATGACAGTGGACATGCTCTTGCGCACGGAGTTGAACGTGTAGACGCGCGTGAAGGACTCCTCGGGGTTGCGCTCGCGCACCGCCTCGTAGCTCTGACCGAGCGCCAGCACGAACCCGAGCAGCGCGCACTCCGTCTTGTTGCCGATCTGTATTGGGGGCGAAGTCGGCTCTGCTGCCGGCTGGGGGTAAACAATTCGGGGTTATACTTTGTAAACAAATATATATTTTTTGACATTGTGCCCTCTTAGAACCTCTATAAATGTTACTTTTGATCACCAGGCCAGATAAATTTGTCAGACTATAATTACTTAAATAATAACAAAAAACTCACCATAACTCCAGAAGTGAAGGCACTATTAACGGATATTCCTTCGATCATAGTCTCGCCAACTTCCGCGGGTATGTCCCTGAAGTTGGGCGTGACCTTGCACAGTTTCTCGCAGATGTAGGACTGGACTACGGTCATCCGGTTGGTGGTGAGCGTACCCGTCTTGTCGGAGCAGATCGCGGTCGCATTGCCCATAGTCTCACACGCGTCCAAGTGACGTACCAAGTTGTTGTCTTTCATCATTTTCTGAAAATATACGGTAATGTTATCTGTATTGTGGTATTCAAACATCTTGCCCGCTCGAAAACTCGGATTTAATTCGCTAAAAAATTTTAAACGACTGAACTAGTCTTATTTAACGTTAACTAACACTTGTAAATATCGTACTATGTTATAACAGTCTTACTGCTCCACTCAAAGTGCCCCTTAATGACTAAACGACGTCTCTGAGTACAACAGTACGGCTTATTTAAACGTCAAACTTACCTTAACAGAGTAGGCGAGAGACAATGTGACAGCGAGAGGCAATCCTTCAGGCACAGCGACCACGAGTACGGTGACACCGATGATGAGATGCTTCACCAGGTTGTTGATGTAAGTCGCCTTCCACGGTTTGCCGTCGATAACAAATGTGCGAACACAGAACTGCACCACCAGGATGATCACCGTTAGCACTGCGATTGTGGAACCCGCGTAACCGATCTGGAATAACAAAGTTAAGACGTATGTTAGGTCACAAAATTATAACCTCGTGCGAGCCTCTGTAAAGTTTGGATAGCACTATACTTTGTATATAATTCAATATTTTCATATTAATACAATTCTAGTGCCTGTATGGAATATCGGAAAAACACACGATGTACTTAAATAGCTGGCAAAGAAAAACCAATTTATATATTTTTATCTGAATGTCTGTTTGCAAGGCTGCGTTTGTCCCGGGTAGACTCCGGAATGTATGCATCGATTTTGACAGAACTTTAACAAGATGGTAGCTAATGCACGCGGGCATATTATAGGCTACTTTTTTCTAATTCCGCTCTGACGAAGTCGTGTTCAACGGCTGGTTAATGGATACATGTGATTGTTAAAATTATTATTATTAAAAAGTCCATATGTTCGGATATATCGTAATAGAGTAGAGTAGAGAAAAATTGGTTTTGCGCACTCGTCTTGTACAATGTTCCGAGCCGCCAAGATATTTGAAAACTGGTATACCTGTATAGCAAGTTTGGTAAGCTTGGCCTGCAGCACCGACTTCTCCTTCTTGTGCGAGGTCTCCGCGGGTTTGTCTGTGGGCGCCACGTGGTTGTCCTCACGATGGTTGGCGCCGTGGCTGTTGCTGCCCGCCGCCAATGTCGCGTCTTCGTCTCCTATCGTAGTATACCAATGTCAGATAATGATCTAGATAAATTCTTGTTTGGTACGTTTATTATATTCTGACACTAATTACCAATTCTATGTATATATAAAAAAGCAACTAACATATTTTTAAAATGTAATAAAAATCTACAGTTGATTTAATTTTAGAGAAAAATTAGATACTTTTGTAGGCTAAAAATTTAATTTTAATAACGTTTTTATAATATAAATTTAATCTAATGTCTTAAAAGGTCCTTTTCGAATTCTAATACTAATAAGTTTGTTACCAATTAAAGTGTATTATTAAAAAAAATCTTACTTATTGTAACTACTAATCTTAACTTTTTAATTTAGTTTGAGGTTACAATACTACTTTTATATTTGTACCAAACAAGAACGAATTAATAAAATAGAATTTATTAAAATATAAGAAAGATGCAGAGAACGTAGTAGATTACTTTTGGGATATGCAGATATATTTAAAAGCAAATTATTATTTATAATTAAAAATTATCTATTTGTTTCTTTATATTAATAAAAAAAACGCAAACTCTAATATATCAAATGTGAAAATATTTCCACATTGTTATATCTAAAGAAAATATTAGTTATTATGCAAAAACTATTTTAAGATCAAAATGCATCTTAGGTTAAAATCCAGGCATTCAGGTTTCTAATCGTATGTAAATATCATAATCGGAATTCATAATGCATTGAGTACACTCAAGGACAGAATAATGTTCACAAATAAGGTTTTGAAGCTTGTATAGCGTTAGCGTTGGTTAATTTATGTTAAGCGGTACATAAATCTGGCCCCAAGTGTACGGGACGTTAGAAGCGGGACGTAGCAAAGGACGGCACTTACCGGTCAGGCTCTTGCGCTGGGTCGCCTTGCGTTGCTGCTTTTTAGCTTCTATAATAATTTCCGATATCCATTGTCGTGGTGTTTTTTTTTTGTATATTTCATTCCAATAACAAGCCATACACATTTATCACAACGGAGACCGTTGGTAAGATTTTTACATCATGCTCCATAGACAACAGTTATACGATGCAATTTAAATGTGTATGTTTATTTTTTTATTTTTTGTTTGTTTATTTTTTCATCGTCAGCATGGATGTGGGGTGCGGCGGGCCAGGGGCGGGGGGTGGAGAAAAAAAATTTGGATGTCTTTAATGGATTCACACTAGACGAATGTCGGTTGCTCTAATACTAAGGGTATGGATTACGATCGAGCAGTTATGTCCTTTAATTAAAAAAAAATACGTAAAAAATGTTGAGTCATTTTTTATGGCCACAAGTGCTGGATCGAGGAGTAAACTTGCATTGACTATGCTTTAGGGGTCATACATTTTACAGTTTTGAAATATTTCGATCGATCGAGATTATTTTATAAGATGACAGATTATTTATTTGTAACATACGACACTAGAGGGGGCTATGAATGCCATGCTACCCACAGGACAGGCAATTAGTCAAACACAAAGACAATACGAACAACGACTAACATGTATCACCAATATCCCAAACACGGACCAAAACCTTCAAGTCGAACTATAAAATAATCTCATATCCACAACAGAAATTGGTAGAATTATAAAAAAAATAGATTAAACATTGAAATTACTTAAAAACAATCATTAAAATAAACTCTACGAAAAAATTAATTAAATTTGTTGTAAAAAAATTGTTGAAAATTTGTGCTACATCAAAATTAAGGATAGTTGAAGCCAAAACTTTAAAAAAAAATATCAAAATCACGTAAATCCGTAAGTTTTTTTTAATTTAATTATGAATTATTATTAACATATTATTTCTACCAGTTTCGTCGTTTTATTCAAGATACCCATTCCCTAGTGTGCAGTGGCATGGTAAGGGGGTACAATTCCATTCTTCTTGTGGTAACACTAAATATGCAACTAAGCATCGAACTATACTATGCTCATTTAGATTCAAGTAAATTTAAACAATAATATTACATTTATTATATTTTTAACAAGGAAATTTTTTTTATAGAAAATATCGATATAACCAAATGAGCATATTATGTATGAACAACACTAAACTAGATTTTATGCAAGTTTCAACTATTTGGATATCATTTCTGTTTTTAGACATTTAATTAAAAAAAAAACATTGTTTATTCTTAAATAAATCAAAAATTACTAGACTGAATTTAATATTACTTTTACTAGTAAAAATAACTTATTAACTTAGAAAGATTCATTTCTTTCATTTCTTCTCGGGGTAGATAAAAAGTTCTACAAGAAAACAGTATAATAAAAAACGGTTCAATATTTTTGTAAGAAAGTGTACAGAATGGATATCCAATGAACTAATGGGGACATCACTATGCTACGGCAGCGCCACACAGCGGGGGAACACTGACCTTTCTTCATCTGCTTGATCTCCTTCTCCTGCTTGTCCACAGCCGCGCCCAGCAGCGTCAGGATGATACCCGCCTGGGAGTTCACACCCACAGCAGTCACCAACATCTTGCCAGACCCTGGAATTGGTCAAATAATCTTATTATTATAAATGAAAATGGATATTTGTTAGTTATAGACATAACATAGCCTGGAAGAACACATAGGCTACTAATTAAGTTCTTTGTAATCCCGCACAGACGGCGTCGCTGGCGATAGCTAGTTATATTAATTTTGACCATAGAAGAAAACTAATAGAGCAATACCTCATTCTTCAAAAGTCATTTATCACTGTTTTCTGAGACCAAAATCGGATATTCGTTATCCCTTTTTTATAACAGAAGGGAGAAAACGAGCAGCGGGAACACCGAGGTGTTCAAAGACGCTCATGGACATCAGCAATACCAGAGGAACTGCAGATGCGTTCATCATCTTTGACAATACGGAGATAACAATATGTTTTATAAACAAATTTTGATATTAGAAACCAACAATAAAACTGACAAATTACTATTAAACGAACACTAAATAAACGAACGTTGCTACTAAAAATATAAAACTACCCGACTAATAAAATTACTAACATATATCTGTAAATCGACAAATTTTTGCAAGGGAATGTTTATAAAAATAATATAAAATTACCTTCCATAACGTGGGTACCGGATAGCACCATGGGATCAAAAGATTCACCCTTCTTGACATGGTCTGACTCTCCTGTGAGCGAGGACTCGTCCACCTGAAATCAACATACACTAAAGTCATACCTAGAGCTAGAGTAGGTAGGAGGAGGTAGGGACAGCAGATTTACAATTGACTCGAAACATTTTGATATTGAATTTTACAAATTATTGATCCATTTCCCTTATTGTTGAACTGAAATTATCGGTACATGTGTATAAGGTTCTAATGATGGAGCTGGAAGGTAGACATCGTAATGAAAAGACACAACCATATCGAAATTGTGAATGGAATCATCTTAACGAGTAACAAGAAAAGAAGAAAAGCTTGTTTTAAATAAGTTTAATCTTTTATTTTTAACAATACAGTTTTTTTTAATGTTTTGATAGATGAAACATACGGTAAGGCATATTTTGAAAGCGGATTCATTAACTCCTTGGTATGAGTTGAGTTGGCGTGTATACAAATTGACGTTAAACTTAAATCGTATTATATTATTATAACTGCTATTCAGATAAACATTTCTCTGTTTGATCAAACTTTTCTCTGATTAATTATGAACTATTTGTTTCTAGTATTGATACTTAGAAAAAACTCCTGCAATGCGATATTAATGTATTTTTCTTTGCTTATCTATATTACTTCATCTGCAATGACGTCACTACTCAATCTTTGATAACGTTTATTTGTGTTGCTAGTTGCGACAATTGTTGCAGAATATTATTAATTTACACTTTATATCTTACTAATATTATAATTGCTAATGTTTAGATGGATGGATGGATGTTTGTTTGAAGATATCTCCGGAACAACTGCATGAATCTAGCTGAGATTTGGTATACATATAGAACATAGTCCGGAAGAATGCATAGGCTACTAATCATTTTTTTTTTAATTCCGCGCGGATAGAGTCGCGGTCGAGCTATTGGTAAATAATTGTCTACAACATAACCTTAAATTGTCGACTTAAGTAAATTAATGAATACATTTCTATCTAATTTGTTTGTAACGCGATTATTCATTATACGACGACTTCAAGCGTTTGTTAGTTAAGTTAAATTTCAATTTAAAACATTGCCGTTATCTAGGCAATGGGCGCGGCGGATATCTGCCGTCAGGTACTGATAAGTAATCAGATTTCTATATCCACGTGCGTCATCAATGCGGCTGTAATCTAACGCTATCAGAACAACAGTAGCATTTATGTTATAGTGCACCAAAATTATGTGACATGTACAGGGTGTTGCGTACGGCGTGTGTACAGAGGGTCGCGTACAAATTGTTGTATATAGGATGTCATGTACATAGTCTTGTTCACAGGGTGTCGTACAAAGTGTTAAATACAGGGACGTCAAGAACATGGTGTTCTACACACGGTTTCACGTACAGATTGTTGGGTATGGGTAGTTGCGTACAAAGTGTTATATACAGGATGTTGTTGTACCTTTAGGTCGTTACTCTGCAGCAGTACACCGTCGGCGGGCAGTAGATCACCATACTTGATCTGGCAGATGTCACCCACCACGATTTCGCTGATAGGCACCTGCTTCACCTCACCGCCCCGGATCACCGCAAACTTGTGCTCACCCTCTATCCTTGATTGAAGCCCTCTGGAATATTACAATGTAAATATGTTATTAACATGAAGTATTCATAAATATATTCCTTAAAGTGACCAAAAATATGATATGTTTTATCGGAAAAAGTGAAGGCATTTCAAAGTATTTTTTTAAGAATTTCTTTTAAATTACGGTCTCTGCATACTTATGTAATTAAAGTAAGCATGAAATACTCTAAAAGTTGTTAATTTCCTTTATTACAGCAATTAAATAAGATTCCTCGAAATACACATTTCATTATGCGTATTATATTCAAAAACGGATAACAGATAAACATGCATGAAGCTTATTAATCTGCAGTTTTAACCTTATTCATGGTGGGTTTCGGACACCAAAATCTGTATAAAACATATAATCTCCCATAATATTTGTCGCAATGAGATAACAATATGTTTTACACATGGATTTCGGTCTCAGAAACCAATGATAAGTCCAAAAAAAGTCTTACCTGAATTGTCTTTCTTTCGTATAATCGTTGAATGCTGTGACTATGACGACAACTATAACAGATATTAAAATCGCCAGACCCTCTATCCATTGGTAGTGACCTTCCTCTTCATCCAAATGACCTGAAACATTAGACAATTTTTTTTTAATATCGCGCAATATTAAGATTATCCAAATCCTTAAAATTATAAGAACGTTAAAGTGTGAACATACTAATATTAAAAACTATCAATCTAGATTTTTGTTGCATTTAACAGCTCGATTATTAATTAGTAAGGTTATTTATTCAGCCTACGTTCTACCTTAATATTAACGGTTAACGTGACGGATTCATCGTGGGGTTCTAAGACCAAATTCCCAGTTTAAAACATATTGTAACCTCTGTTTTGTCAAAGATGGGACAGGGATAACGATATGTTTTATACGACTATTTTGGTGTCAGAAACCAAAGGTAACTCGTGTTAACGACATATGTATGAAACTGATGGTTTTTGAGACCAATATCCCTGATTAAACATATCTTCATCCCTGCCATTATCTTTGACGTAACAGAAATAACAATATATTTTAAACTGGGATTTTTGGTCTCGGAAACATACGATCGATAAGTCAATTAGTTGACTACTAATTTTAAACATTTTTCTAACTATGTCTGTATATACAGATATCCTAGACATAATTTGAACATTTAAATCGTTAAGTAACCAAACTATTCAACTCATTGTAACTTTAGTGACAGTTAATGTTATGCGTATTTGAATTTAGAATCAACCTACATCTACCCGCATTAAGGTATTTACCCATACTCTGCCCAATTAGATTAATCCTATGATTGGCTAAGGGTTGCCACCTATCTCTGTCATATGTATCGTGTTTGAGCGAGAGGTTGTATTATTCAATTATGATACATTGGGGCAATTTGACCTCGATACGATAACAGAAGTGTTATGGGATTTAATGTCCGTAATTAGTTTGGCGTGTAATATTATCATGGGTTTACATTGCTATGAAACCTGTATAAAAACATTGTTATAGCAGTAATAACGTACGATAATTATCTCTTGATTTGGTGTAAGCAGTGATGTGAAGTATTACTGGTTTAAAAGTTGAATAGCCAAATAATGTGCTGGTGTACTATTAAGTAATGAAAAGTGTAAAAATAACAATAATTATTGTATTTAGTAAATACTATTTCTTTTTCTAAAGCAAACAGTGGCATGAGACGTGGACAACCCTAGAAGCGTTGCAAAGTGGTGTTTCACGGCACAAAACATCAATTTTGACAACTCGAACAACCGCTGATGAATACGCGCAACGTATTTGCCTAAACAAACGTGGTGATAATTTCAAGCAACCTAATTCATTTGTTCAAAGTGAAACGTTTATTGTAAGTTTTGCTGAAACATGTTCCCTCTCTCTACACATGATCTACAAAACATGTTTTATATTTTGATTGTTTCTTATACTAGCTTTAAAACGGTATAATTCTCAGAATTATAAATGCACTTTTACCCTTAATAAAATAATTACTAGACCAAACACATACACAGACACTAATTTAATCTATTTAAATAATAATTTTATATGTAATCCATTTATAATAGCTTTTATTATATTCATTAGATTTTATTTTATTTAAGAATTTTTTATTTATTAAATAAATCTATACAATCTAAAACAACACACAGACGAACAAACATCGTATACAACTATATTACTGTCGTGTCTAGCGGGCTAGCAAGCAGACAAACACGCTATCACGGTGAGACACGAATTGCTAACGGGGTCCGTTTACTCAAGAGATGAAGCAACTAATTCAACATGCCCTAATGTCATGGTTCTTCGATTCCCTTTTCAAAAAATTTACTTCTTAATCTAAGGTTATAAATTCTATATAATTGATGTTCTTATCAACACTATTAAATAGGTTCCAATTGTTTTTTTTTCGGATATACTGTAAATATAAAACTTTATGACGACCGCCATGTTTATTTTCCTATCCAAGCGAAGACAGTGACAACTATCTTACTAATAAATGCGAATGTTTAGATGGATGGATGGATGTTTGTCGGAAGATATCTTCAAAAAGTTTTAACGGATCTTGATTAAATTTGGTACAGATGTAGAGCATAGTCTGGAAGAGCACATAGGCTACTTATTAAGTTTTTTTTTTAATTCCGCGCGGATAGCCTCGGACGAGACCTAGTTTAGTAGATAATTTCCAGTTCCGCTACCACATTATCTATTCCAGTTTCTTGTTGAATAAACTATTGATAGAAAGTGCTGCGGCAGTAAGTGCTTGAAATATTTAAAGAACCGCAGTATTCACTTACTTTTATGTGCAATTAGACGACGTATTCTTGGTGTGTTCGACATTTAAACTAATATTTTATCAATCCAAGGAAATTTACTTAACATTACTAACTTAGTATTATAGACTTTAACATGAGATCGAAAAACCATGACGAAATAAAACTAAAGACAGATAGATAGTATTATAATACCAATTGAACAGGAACATCTTTTTTGTTACAATTTAAAAAAAAATAGAAAAATTTGGAAAAAATCTAAATGTGACAAAAAATTTCAATTATCTTGAGTACACGATAATAAACGAGCATTATAGGGTGTTTAAAATTCTCTAAATAATACAATTTTCTTACCAATTTCATCTACTGTTGTTATTGAAAAAAGAAAATACGTTCATTAATTATTTCTAAATAAAGACACACATTTTGGTACTCTTAAAATTAAACATATATAAACTATACATATTTTTTAATATATTATATAATATAATATTAAAATAAATACATAAGTGCGTAAATTACATTACAACATAGCTCTTAGACTATGTTGTAGTGTAGTTAAAAAAAACTTAAAAAAAACAAAAGAGAATTGCGTTCATATATTAATACGTAAAGGATGTTTTGTTTCCCTTTCTTTATCTTCTAGGGAACAATAGGAAACCAATTTATCCCTTCGTACGTGAAAATGAACGAAACGGATCGTAATGGGATATGAAGGTAGTACAATCGAAATGATCAAACCTTTAAAAAGGTCACACCTTTGAAGTTCTTTATCGAATTTATTATTTTATATCGTGATATTTCTTGCATTAGAATAATATACAGGATGAATATTCAATGTAGTTTATTTTCTTGAAATTACTTAATAGAAAACAATTGCTGTAATTATTTATCTACAGTCGAACCAGAATAAGCGAGAGTCATTGTCTGTCATATGCTAGAAACTGTTAGCGAGAAAAATATCGCGGTTCTAAGACTCTCTCTTATCCAAGTTGGACTGTATCAAATTCTCTATAAAAAAACATCTTCAAGATATCATATTCTCCATTAAATCGGTAAATAAGAAAATACTTTTTTTTTCTATCAGCAAAGTCCGAGCAAAAAGCAGCTCGGGGCTAATTTCCTTCGATTTCCATCGTGTAATAAGTTGAGGGTAGGCTAGGGGGTTATTTTACGACGTTCAATTCTTTCGTCACGTTCAGCCATCAAATAGGGTCCGCTTTGGTAGGATTTACGGACGAAAAAACTTATATGTAGCGACTATAAAACGCCTTTTCAGATAGAATAGTAAAATCTTTTTGGAGAAATTTATAATCTTATCGCACCCAGAGTCCTGTGATGGACAAATTGGGCGACCCTTAAGTATAACTTAAGTAACATCGATCGGAGGAGTTAATTATTTTAGTAGAAGTGGGTGAAAAACTTTACAAGTATTATAATTAAAGTTATTACTTAAGTATAAATTAAGTTACAACTTACCAATATCGCTCTCATCTTCGGACGGCTTGTAGAAACTCAATCCAAGCGAGACAACGGCGGCCACCTCGAGGATGATCAGGGTGACATCTTGTAGCGCCTCCCACACCAGCGTGAGGAAGGTTTTAGGAGGTTTCGGGGGAATTAGATTGGAACCGAACACTTCCCGCCTGTGCTGTTGGTCCGCCTTGGAACCGCTAAGACCTGCAAGAAAAAAACAAGATAAATTAGCTTAATTAAATCAAAAATATCCATCAATCACTACAAATAAATATACGAATAACACAAAATTCCAGACATTTATTCAATTTTATGATTAGTAATTGCCAATCAATTATTTGCAGGCTTAAAAACTACAAACTACCCAAACTACCGTATAAATAAAACTACTAATAGTAACAACAAAGGGCTTCATCATTTATTTATAGCCTAACTCAAATCACAAAATCCGGGTTCAATAAACTACATCCGCAAACAGTCAAGCTGACAAACACGAGCTAAACAGGATGGTTTATTGGTTGAGAGTTTACGCGAAATAAGACGGACGCGGTTGTAACCGACAATTGAGTGTTATGCACTTCTTTGATGTTTTGTTTCGATACCAATAAACAATGCTTTAAAAAGATTAAATACTCATTGTTTTTTAATCAAATATAAATCAATAGTTCATCAGGTCTTTAAATTCCGTCATTCGACTAGTTACAGAAAAAATTAATAAGCATTCCACTGAGCGATTAGCCGCACACGTTTGCTATTTCTACAAACAGTCGCAGCTACAATAGACACCATCTGCTAAAAACAAAAGTCGTGCGTAACTAGTGGTTCAGTGCAAATGGGGTCTAAGACAGGAAGTACAGGAATAGATCTATAACCGTAAACCGTAGAGCCGTTGTATTACTCAGAGGCGTGGGTAAATTCATTTTTCATTATGAATTTTATGTTTAACCGCAACATCGTGTTAATGTTATACACAAATAGATATTAAAAAATTGCTCTATACAAAAGAGGCCGAGAATAAAAACCAAAAGCATTCGGGACTTTAAGAATTTTTAGCAGTTATACTCAAAAATGAATAGATTCAAATAAATCAGATATAAGGCTTAACTTTAAAAATAATTGTTGAGGGGTATATCGGTAGGGATAGGCCTAGGATGAGATGGATGGATTACATGGAAGGTGACGTGATCAAGAAAGGACTAACAACTGAGGTGATGGAAGACGAGACCTCGAAACGCCGACCCTAAGTGGGATAAGAACAAGGAGGTGATGATGAATTAATTAACAAACAAATCATACATTTTGACAGTGGTAGAACCCGCTTTAACATCTTAACACGAATCGGCCCGGCTCGCCCGGTGAAATACCACGACCACACAGAAGACAGGCGTGAAGTGGAAGCAATTCCGCGATTCGTCTGATCAGTGTGCGTCCCGGAGGCCTCATTTAGTCCTCTTTCCCTTCCCACCCTTTTCCTTATAAGGAAAGGATGGGAAGTAGAAGTGGACTTTCCGGATGAGAGGATGCATAGGAAATATTTTCTTTCTGTGCATCCTCTCCTCCGGCGATTAAAGGTAGGCAAAGCATATGTAATTGCGTATGTCTATGGGCAGCGGTTGCTTCGCTATTCCAGCGATTTCAGGTGACCACTCGCTCGTTTGCCATCTTATGACATAAAAAAAAATACATTATCTGACGTATCAAGTTAGACTTGTCACCGAGTTAGTATAAACAATTTTAACTACGAGATCGATTTAAACAACTATTCCAACATTACGAAGACACATTACTCCTGCCTATCTCACATCACCAAATGAACATATGTCTTCATTGTAAATAGAATCAATAAAGTTTCGTTTTACATATAACATTCTAATTCTATATGGATTGCATATCGATCGCGAAACATGGAGCATTAACAATTCAAACTTGACCCTTTGTAGTTAGGTACTAAAAATACGTTTACTTATCGATTGTTGTGAAATATTATTTAATTATTATGTACTAACTGTCACCCGTGACTCCGTCCGCGTGGTATGAAAAAATAATTAATTAGTTTCCGGCAATTATTCGTATTTTTTTCCTTTTAAAAATTCCCTAGACCTCTACGAATATTTCAAGACCAAGATAAATCCACTGAACCGTTTTCAAGTTGTAGCGAGACTAACAAACAACATTTGATTTTTATATATAGACAAGTGTAAGAGTTAGAATGGACATATTTGAAGCCAAACTGTATAGTTAAGAAAACTATACAGTTTACAGGAATATGGATGAAATGCAATCTTTGAGTGTCATTAAGTAATGGTGACATAGTAAACGTCTGATTGACGATAATGTCATAGTTATTATACTTGTCAGTGACATGACATGACAGCTTGATATTTTAAGGCTACGTGTCTAAACATATGTTAACATCTATGGACTTTGATGTTTAATAAATTATATCGATTAGTTTATTTACAGATGAACTTGACGATGAAAATAAAAAGACGTCATTCGCTTTTAATATTTGTCTTTTGTTTTAAACCAAGGATACAATTATCCAATTATAATTCCATATTATAAATACAGAAATAGTAGCTCAAATAAACCAAATTAAAATATACACGTGGTAGCAAATAAAAATGTCTAGATGTTTCAATGAACAACCGACGATTACAATGATAAATATAGTCAAGAAAGCTCAAGAGAGAAAAGACTGGGGAACCAGGAAGAGCGATCATGTTCCCAGGAGGAGAATGAGAGAACAAGACTCGTCAGAGAGAGACAGAATAACAGAAGAATAGGCGTAATAGTGTGGAACTGTTTAGATGAATAACTAAAACTTATGAACGTATACAAGACAAAAACCAAACACATGGAAACAGTATCCTTTGTAGTGATGTACACATGTTACATCGTAATTTAATGTCGATATAAACAATTATTTAAACCCTTCGAGGAGTAACAGGAGTCAGATTGAGTTTATTATCGATAAATCGGGCGAACGGTCGGTAAACAGTGATGTTACGCGTGATCGGACAGACGAGCGAGCGCGTTAAAATTACACTCGCAATAAAAATCAACGTGTGGCCCGCGAATTTGGAACCTGAGTCAACGGCGGCGTTTGTGTATTTTTAAAAATTAAAAAAAATTAATCACGTTTACATTACTTGATATAAAATTTATGTATCTTTACATAAAAGGCTCATGAGTACATGTCGTGTAAAACTTGGTATTGCACAATTTTTTACAAACTTGGATATAAAGAAAAGAGTTTATTGCGTAAAAATGATGCGGACCTGTAACCTATAGTCATAACATCATAAAAGCCAAACTGATTGCTCGTATTTCTTTTAGAAAAAAAGTAAAAAATAAAATATTTTTTATAAATAGTTATAAATAAATATTTAGCATCGAATTTGGAAGGTTCTGTTTTCTTCAATATCGTTTTTCCTTTGGTATTGATTTACTCATTAGTGACGTAACACGTGTCACCTTGCCCTACTAGCTTTATTAATAGAATTCTTAATTAAGAACGTTAAAATGGAAACAAATTAAAAGAAATTCTAGTTTAAAAGCTATTTATATCGGAACGTCTGCAACCAATTAATCTATTCCGCGGTGACAGATAAAATTGGACTGAACTATTTCCTTGCTAGCGTTCTTGAGAGCTTCAGAACAATGGAGGTTGAATGACGTCATCGTGGATCGATAAAATACAAGACAGAGATTTTCATACAAAGAAAGGAAAAAAGTCAATTTAATTATTTCTCTCATATTTTCTACTTAAGGCAAAACGTTCAAATAAATAAAACGCATCACTAGCAATACAGACTATTTATTCAGAGTTAAGAAGTCGTGGATTAAGCTTTGATTCCCGATGTCCAGTCTATTGTTATATAACGTTGAATGTCTTTAGTTTGAGGACAAAACACTCCTTAACTCCTTTTACGCAAAATACTAAAATATTTCAATGTATAAAATTTAAACGGTTTCTATAAAAACTTGAATACCAAACATTAACACATCAAAAATTGAGGTTAATAAGGAACTGAAATAATTTCTGAAATTATAAAGAGCGTCAACGGGTTTTATCATTTAAATTAATGTTGTCAGGATGCGAACAATTAACTAACACGTCAATGATAATTTAAACGTGGGCTTCTACTACCAAAATATTTTATATGTTATATTTTAAAAAATATATCAGTAGTCTTCGTCATCGTCACCGTGAAAACGAGACAGCAACACTGGTGACATAAAAAAAAATTGCTGAATTAGTATTATTTGGTTAGAAGCTAGAAGTACTTTCAAATGTATGTTTCTCAAGTAATGTACAGCAAAACTGACTACTATTTTAATTTGACAAAAGTAATTTTTTTAACTAAATTTACTCTTTGCATTAATCGATATTATAAGTAGAAGAATCGTGTTATTGGAGACAGGACTTTTAGCTTTTATTTTCCTGCCAGTTCCAATAATATTACTTTGAAAAGCTAAAAAATACAACGCTAGCAAATACAAAAAAAGTTACCAAGAAAAATAATCATCATAAAGTAAATGTTAAAAACAAAAAAGAAACCAAATTCACTTATTGGCTCGAATTCGATAATTTTGCAAAGAGATGTAAATCAGAGCACGGATTTGAATTTATGAGGCTGAAAAGTTTCGTGGTAGGGGAATGCTTACCGAACTGTGGTTGGAAACGATATTTTATAGCTGGAGAAGTAGCTCCTACCAAGAACTTTGAGAAAACAATGCTGTTTTAACTGCTTCTACGTTAAATTGGCTAGAAAATTGTTACTTGTTCTTATTTAAAAATATACCGGTTAGATTCTCTAGTGCGTTTTTATTTTTATTTATTTAAGCTTTGTACACAGTTTTAAGTACATAGTGTAACATTACATAGAAATACAATGATGTACTACAGGTGAGCTTAACTCTATTAGTTTTTCATAGAACCACAAATGCAAAAGGTCTAATAAAATAATATTTTATTATAATGATTTTCTACACAGAGACAGCCCTATGTTGATTGTTAGTACAGTACATATAAAAATGTGCCAATACAAGTATTTATAAATATTTCATAAGCACAATTGTAAACATCAGAGAGTGTACGTGCTGAAAGTTTCTAGTAATGATTACATACGAGTATAATATTGGAAATGGCCGCGGCCGATGAACCGACGACCGTGTACAGTTTACGATGCGGGGTGCGG